GTTCTACAGTTTCTTGTTACAAATAAACATTTTTGATCGTGTGCTTCTTGTAACGTAAGACAGATTTAGGTTTGTTTCTAAATACACTCAAAACTATTTCCATTAATAATTGTTTTCCTGTGAAATAAGTAGTTGGGAGTAAACTTTACACACACAAGACATTTCAGTGCCATAAATGATTCATTTGCCATTGTTAGAGAATGAAAAATGTGTTTTTGCGTTGTGTTGAACAGGACTTTTATTTAAATGTATGTGTAATACCGTAATGAGTTTTGACTCCTGGTCAAATTACACGTTTTGTTCATTTTCTAAGTGAAAATAAGTTAACACATCCTCTATAGGGAACAAATTTAAATATAGTACTTCTTTTCAAATTTAGTGCCGAATGTCTACTTGTTAAAAAAAATTGTTAAAAAAAAGACATAAAAAATAAAATATGCAGAAGCTTTTACACAGGCCACATTTATTTGAAATTTTTTTTTTATTTTTTTATTTTTTTAATTATTTGTATTACTTTTGAAAACGACTGTATATTTGAGGGTGTAAAATAATAATAAGAGGGTTTGGTCTCTCTCTTTCAGGATGGAGTGCGTATGGAAGAGATTGTAGAAGGCTGTACTGGAGCTTTACACATCCTTGCCAGAGATCCAATTAACAGGGGAGAAATCGCCAGCATGCAGACAATTCCGCTATTCGTACAGGTACCACAGATCATTCTACTGTTTGTACAGGTACCACAGATCATTCCACTGTTCGTACAGGTACCACAGATCATTCCACTGTTAGTACAGGTACCACAGATCATTCCACTGTTAGTACAGGTACCACAGATCATTCCACTGTTCGTACAGGTACCACAGATCATTCTACTGTTAGTACAGGTACCACAGATCATTCTACTGTTAGTACAGGTACCACAGATCATTCTACTGTTCGTACAGGTACCACAGATCATTCTACTGTTCGTACAGGTACCACAGATCATTCCACTGTTCGTACAGGTACCACAGATCATTCCACTGTTCGTACAGGTACCACAGATCATTCCACTGTTAGTACAGGTACCACAGATCATTCCACTGTTAGTACAGGTACCACAGATCATTCTACTGTTCGTACAGGTACCACAGATCATTCTACTGTTCGTACAGGTACCACAGATCATTCCACTGTTCGTACAGGTACCACAGATCATTCCACTGTTAGTACAGGTACCACAGATCATTCCACTGTTCGTACAGGTACCACAGATCATTCTACTGTTAGTACAGGTACCACAGATCATTCCACTGTTAGTACAGGTACCACAGATCATTCCACTGTTCGTACAGGTACCACAGATCATTCCATTTTTCATAACGGTACCGCAGTTGATTTCACTGTTCGTACAGGTACTGCAGATCATTCCACTGTTCATACAGGTATCGCAGTTCATTCCACTGTTCGTACAAGTATCACAGGTCATTCCGCTCTTTGTACAGGTACCGCAGATCTTTTCCCTTTTCGTACAGGTACCACAGATCATTCTGCTGTTCGAACACGTCCCACAGATCATTCTGCAGATTGTACAGATACCAAAGATCATTCCATTGATCGTACATGTACTGCAGATCATTCTGCTGTTCATACAGGTACCACAGATCATTCCCCTGTTTGTACCGGTACCACAGATCATTCCATTTTTCATACAGGTATCGCAGTTCATTCCACTGTTTCTACAGGTACCACTGTTAATTCCACTGTTCATACAAGTAACGCAGATCATTCCTCTGTTCAGACAGGTACCACAGATCATTCCACTGTTCAGACAGGTACCACAGATCATCCCACTGTTCATATAGGTACCACAGATCATTCCACTGTTGGTACAAGTACCACAGATCATTCCACTCTTGGTACAAGTACCACAGATCATTCCACTGTTGGTACAAGTACCACAGATCATTCCACTGTTGGTACAAGTACCACAGATCATTCCACTGTTGGTACAAGTACCACAGATCATTCCACTGTTCGTACACGTACCACAGATCATTCCACTGTTCGTACACGTACCACAGATCATTCCACTGTTTGTACACGTACCACAGATCATTCCGCTGTTCGTACAAGTACCACAGATCATTCCATTGTTGGTACAGGTACCACAGATCATTCCACTGTTCGTACAAGTACCACAGATCATTCCACTGTTGGTACAGGTACCACAGATCATTCCACTGTTCGTACAAGTACCACAGATCATTCCACTGTTCGTACAGGTACTGCAGTTCTAAAATGACGTATAAGTTCATGAAAATTCTATGTGATTCATTCACAATACAAATCTTTCTGCTAATATGATCAGTTTCTCTCTCTCGTTTAGTGAAGTATTTTTGTTTTTTTCATGTTGTCAAAAGAAGAAACAACTCAACTGTTCAATTTTAATTAGTGAAAATGTCAATATGTCACAGTAAGAAATTGATCATACCTGCAGTGACACAGACAGCTCTGGGATACATTACACATATTAAAGCTTTTTAAAAACTCTCTCTCTGTCCTGTAGCTGCTGTACTCTTATGTGGAGAACGTAAAGCGTGTGTCTGCAGGGGTTCTGTGTGAGTTGGCTTTGGATAAGCAGTCTGCTGAGCTGATCGATGCTGAAGGAGCTTCAGCACCTCTGATGGAGCTCCTGCACTCTCCCAACGAGGGAATAGGTGAGAACCCTTCATTAACTTATTCAGTAACACCAACATGAACAGTACCAGTGACATGTTACAGTAATGTAATGTATGGTATGGCTAACATATTACAGCACTGCTAATGTTTAGTACCACTAACATATACAGTAATGCTAACATATACAACCCAGCTAGCACATACAGTACGGCTAAAATAGTACAGTCCAACTCACTGGACACACCTACTAAAACAGAGTGGTGATGCCCCTTCAGACTGGCTTTGAAAAGTCTGCAGTAACACATCATTGCAGCCATTAAGGCTTTCCCAAAATAACAACATTCTTAACTGACACAAAGACCTGATTTTTTTGACAAAACGTAACCTCCCCCCCCCCCAAAACAAAACTCAGATAAATCAATAACAGTATTGTACAAATGAGGTACAAATGAAGTTAAGGTCCTTATTTAAGCTGATAAATAAATAAATCAGTGAATGCAATTAGTGTGACAGACTTTTAGTCTAGTAAATTGTTATAATTGATTAGTCGACTTAGAGAGAACAGCTTTAAAATCCTGTGTTTTCAGTGAACCTGCTGTACCTGTAATTTTGTTAACATTTATACGTACCTGTTCTCCCAGCCACCTATGCCGCCGCCGTGCTTTTCCGGATCTCCGAGGATAAAAGCTCAGACTACAGGAAGCGTGTTTCAGTGGAGCTCACTCACTCACTGTTCAAACACGACCCGGCCGCATGGGAAATGGTGAGTGGAGCCAACACACACACCTGGGGGATCTCACCTGCACATACCTGAGGGGCATCACCTACCCACACCTGAAGGGTATCACCTACTCACACACCTGAGGAATCTCACCTACACACACACCCGAGGAGACTCACCTACACACACACCCAAGGAGTCTCACCTACACACACACCCGAGGAGTCTCACCTACACACACACCCGAGGAGACTCACCTACACACACACCCGAGGAGACTCACCAACACACACCCCCGAGGAGACTCACCTACACACACACCCGAGGAGACTCACCAACACACACCCCCGAGGAGACTCACCTACACACACACCCGAGGAGTCTCACCTACACACACCTGAGACCTCTCACCTACACACAGGGATCTCACCTACACACACCTGAAGAATCTCACCTACATAAACACACCTGATCTATACACACACAGGAAACTCATCTACACACACCTGAGGGATCTCACCTACTTACACCTGGGGGATCTTACCCACACACACCTGAGAAATATGACTTACACACACGTCTGAGAGATCTCAATAACACACACCTGAGGAATCACACCTTCACACACCTGAGTCTCACCTACTTAAGATATTTTGACCTAAATGTTTGTGCATAATTGCAAGAAATCAAAGACAAATATAAAAACTGTGAATAATTGATGTGTAAAATGTCGAAAATTGTAAAAATGAAGGAATCCCTTTCATTAATGAGTGTGTCCAAACTTTTGACTTGCACTGTATGAGGTGTTAGTTGGAGGACTTCATGGTTTAATAAAAGCAGAGAGTGTTAAAGCTGGTTTAGATGTTTTCGTTATGAAAATATCTTGGTGTTATGAACTGAAAGGGTTGTTGTTTGTATGTGTTTTTCACTAAATCCCTTTTTTGCCCATCTTGAAAGGTGAATTTAAATAAAGTTATATTATTATTCTATTATTATCATATTTTTTGCTTAGAACTTGATAAAAGCACAGCAGGCAGACTGTGGCTTTCACTGCATTGCTGTGTCCCTGAGAATAACTCAGTGTTTCTGTTCCTACAACATGTAGTTTCATCACTCTCTGAGCGTTTGTCCCAGTTTCGGGGGTGAGAGCAGCTGTATGGTCTCTGCAGCTTCTCAGACAGAAGTCCTTTCCATTCGCCCTGTTCTCGTATAAATGTAGGGACTATTAATATTGATTTGTCAGTTAATATGAGGCACGCTGTGAAAAGAGAGAGAAGAGCTGAGTTTACGCTAAAGTTCTTTAAGTTTTTCAGGCTAAAGCAGATTTTACTACCTCTGATAATGCTAAGCGAATGGGTTGATGGAACGATAATGTGGTTTATCATAAAGAGAATGTAGATTGTAAATATAAAAAGAAAGTGAAGAGAATCAAAGGGTGTTTTCACACCTGAGAGTCTGAGCCAAGGTTCATGTTTTTGTGTGGTCGTGTGGTCAGTTCAGCGGGCAGCCTTTTCCATTTGAATGGAGAAAAATGTTGACTTTCAACTTTTTCGTCAGACCAAATTACAGTTAAATATTTCGTCTCCTCGTCTCTAAACTGCTGTAGGCTGAGTGGTGGAGCTAAACTGCTGTAGGCTGAATGGGAGGGGCTAAACTGCTGTAGGCTGAATGGGTGGAGCTAAACTGCTGTAGGCTGAATGGTGGGGCTAAACTGCTGTAGCTGAATGGAGGGGCTAAGCTGCTGTAGGCTGAATAGGAGGGGCTAAAATGAATGGGTGGAGCTAAATTGCTGTAGGCTGAATGGGAGGGGCTAAGCTGAATGGGTGGAGCTAAACTGCTGTAGCTGAATGGGTGGAGCTAAACTGCTGTATGCTGAATGGATGGGGCTAAACTGCTGTAGGCTGAATGGGAGGGGCTAAGCTGAATGGGTGGAGCTAAACTGCTGTAGGCTGAATGGGCAGGGCTAAATTGAATGGGTGGAGCCAAACTGCTGTAGGCTGAATGGGTGGAGCTAAACTGCTGTAGGCTGAATGGGTGGGGCTAAATTGAATGGGTGGAGCTAAACTGCTGTAGCTGAATGGTGGGGCTAAACTGCTGTAGCTGAATGGTGGGGCTGAACTGCTGTAGCTGAATGGTGGAGCTAAACTGCTGTAGCTGAATGGTGGGGCTAAACTGCTGTAGCTGAATGGTGGAGCTAAACTGCTGTAGCTGAATGGTGGGGCTAAACTGCTGTAGCTGAATGGTGGGGCTAAACTGCTGTAGCTGAATGGGTGGGGCTAATCTGCTGTAGGCTGTATGGGTGGGGCTAATCTGCTGTAGGCTGAGTGGGTGGAGCTAATCTGCTGTAACTCTTTTAGGTTAATCTGACGAGACATTTTTTACAGTGTATATGTTTACATATTACATCAAGGTTCTAGGGAGCTTTAAGAGGAATAGCCAGTCTCTTTTATCTGCAGTTGATGTTTTGCTTCTCCTAAAGGGTGAGGAGTAGTGAGTAGTGGAGTAGTGAACTGCAGGGTGCATATCTGAGTGATCGTGTCCTCATTTCCTCTCTTTCCCTCCAGGCTCACAGCACAATGCCGCTCGACGCAGGATACATGCCAGACGGTAAGAGCCGCAGCGCCCACCTACAAACACTGGAACACCCATTACAGTGTTTTACTCCCTGCTATCTTACTGGCACTGTACTTTACATTAACCATGTCCGTCTGCAGTCAGACTCTCACACACAATGTACTTCACATAAACAAGATATCAGATCATAACTGCATTTTCAGAGTACCAATACCCACAACACTCGCTTCTGTCCTGATAAAGGATCATTTGATCAGATTTAAAATGAAGATACTGGAACACAAATTCATTTCTAAAGGTATCAGACAGTGAAGAGCATATTTTCATACATTTACTAATGTATCTGATAAACACATTTACACACAATTATTTTTGTATGGAACATTTCTATGTGTAATATTTCCTCATACATTTAAAATAAGTGCATTTTAAACTATATTTGGTTAATATGGCAAAATATTCTTAAATACATTGTGTTTGAATGTGTTTCAGCATCAACTGCAGAGTGTTTTACATGTATTTCTTAACAATAGAAATACATGTTCTGACCATATATTAAGTATATGAAGCAGTGCTGTATGTTGTCGGTGTGATGCTGAGACTCTGAGTGTTCCCCTCTCTGGTTTCGGGTCCTGCTGTGTGGTTAATGGAGTTGGCCCGAGTCCCCTGTACACGATCAGATGGATCTGCTCGGTGGCCTCGGGGCTGAGAGCGTTTGTAGAGCTCTTAATATGAATCTCCTAAGGTCATATTTCCATGTCATTTACATTTACATTAACCAACCATCTATCATCATCTTCACTGTCACTCTCTCTCTCTCTCTCTCTCTCTCTCTCTCTCTGCTCCTTACTCTCTCGTGATACAATCTTTTCATCCTCAGCACTTTTTTTCTCATTTTCAGCTGTTCTCTCCTCTGTTTGCTGAAGCTCTGTTAACTGAACAGTGTTCACTTTTCATTCAATTCACATTAAACTGACAGTTATATTACCCATATGGAGAAATATATGGACATATATTATTATACATTGGAAATACATGTCAAATGCATATCATTCGATGCTGAAATATATTCCAAACACTAAAATGTGTTTCAGATTATTTTGCCATATTAACCAAATATATTTAAAATACATTTATTTTAAAGTTTATGTGGAAATATTACACATAGACAAAAATAACTGGGTGTAAATGTGTTTATAATATCCATCTGAAAATGTATGAAAATATCCAGAATCCTGTCTGATGCTCTTCACTGTCTGATACCTTTAGAAATGAGTTTGTGGCTCCCGAGTGGCGCAACCGTCTAAGCGTTGGCCCTCTCATCAGGAGATCGCGTGTTCGATCCCTGGTGATGCTACAGCCGTCCGTAACCGGGAGTCCGAGAGAGCACAACTGGCCTCGCTCTCTCTGGGTGGGTAGGATGGCCCCTCCCTCTCCCCCCATCACTCAGCGCGATGCTAGTCAGCGCAGGCGTCTGTTAGCTGACGTAACAGATCTGGCGGTTGGCGCTTTCCTCCGAGCGCGTTCGGCTGTCCAGTGACGCTGCGTGAGCGGCAGTTCGAAAAGAAGCGGTAGTGCTTCACAGGTCTCGGAGGAAGCCTGTGTTAGCCTTCACCCTCCTAGCGTTGATGGTATCGTGTGATTGGGGGAGTCCTAACTAGCGGGTGGAATTGGAGACGACTAAATTGGGGAGAAAATTGGGGAAAAATCCAAAAAAAAAAAAAGAAATGAGTTTGTATTTCCGTATACGGGGATGGTGAACATACTTAGCGTGAAGCTAAAAGCAGACTGATAACTGAAATCCTCATTACTTCATCATTCCTTTTCTCTGTGTGTAGATCTGGACGCTGCGTATCCTCCGTATGGTTACCCTGATTTGCCCATAGATGGCCTCCCTCTGGACCCAGAGATACATGAGCAGTTCATGCCGGAGATGAGCTTTGACCCCCGACAGGTCTACCCAGAGCCGCTTTAACGCCACACTGATGCAGGTTAGCACAGATCTTAACCTCACACACACACACACACACACACACACACACACACACACTCACACACACACTCACACTCACACTCACACACACACACACACACACACTCACACTCACACTCACACACACACACACACACACACACTCACACTCTCACACACACACACACACACACACACACTCACACACACACACTCACACACACACACTCACACACACACACACACTCTCTCACACACACACACACACACACACACACTCACACACACACACACACTCACACACTCACACACACACACTCACACACACACACACACACACACACACACACACACTCACACACACACACACACACACACACACACTCACACACAAACACACACACTCTCACACACACACACACTCTCACACACACACACACACACACACACACTCACACACACACACTCACACACACACACTCACACACACTCACACACACACACACTCACACACAAACACTCACACACACACACACACTCTCACACACACACACTCTCACACACACACACACACACACACTATTTATATCATTTACACAGAAATGATGTTAACATTAATCAAAATATTCTTTTCAGAAAGGCGCAGTACGTGTAGAAATGCCTTATGAAAAGCATTCATCTCATTTCAGATAAAAGGATTATGTTACTCTCACTAACAGAAGTTCAGAGCTACTTGGTTTAGAGTTTATCACTGTGTTCTTTACTCTCTCCGGCTGCTGATGGAGGAAAGAAGTAAATCACTGATCACGAAGCTTCCTCCTGGAGATCTTCCTCCCCTCAGAGCTTATTTCCAACTTACTCAGGGCTTTAAGTGCGATTTGTAACCCTCTGGACTCTGAGGTCATTCTCTCTCGATCTGTTCATCTCTTCTTAAACTCTCTTCATATAACATGATCCTCATATGTTTCATATCTAAATGCTCCGTTTTCTTCATCACTACTTTCCAAAACCGCTGCAGCAGCTTCAGCAGCTGTAAACTCTCTGCACGCCGTTTCACACGAGTCTCCGATGTGGACTGAATAAAGAATGAAGGGTTTCCGGCGTGATGGTCAGTCCTTAGTGATTTCCTGAGTGTCCATTGGTCAGTTTCACACAGAATGTAGACGGACACACCAATCCACCAGTTCCACACGGTGAGAGGCAGATGAGGTGTATCTCAGCCCCTCTTCATAGGCTCATAACTCCGGATGTGAGTCTCGTATGATCTCGTGATAAGATGGAATGGAAAGGGCGACTCTACAGATTCAGGAAGTGTCTGAACTGGATTTCTGAGCTGGATCATCACAAAGGGTTAATATTGAGAAATAATACAGAAACTCAGTGCAGTCACTGTTTTTTCTATTATTTCTCCTCATTAATAATACATCACACTATAGTAAATTATTTTCAGTCCTCTTTGTGATCAGTGTGGAGGCCTTTCCTGACAAAATCCATCCATCCATCCATCGTCTAAACCGCTTATCCTTCTTGGTTGTGGTGGGGTGCTGGAGCCTATCCCAGCTGTCATTGGGCAGAAGGCAGGATACACCCTGGACAGGTCGCCAGTCCATCCTGACAAAATCTCATTTACATTTTTTAAGTCTTGAGCACATAGAAAATGATTATTTGAAGAGTTTGCTGTTGTAAGTTTACTCATTTTTGGTGTAATATTCATTTGTTATTGTTTTAGTGTGTTTGATTATTTGTTATTAGCTTTAGGCCCGAAACATACTTCACACAATGACGCAAATGCAGACGCTTCGAGTTACACAGACAGGGTTTCGCGCGTAGTTGCGCTAAAAAATGTGACACATTTCACGAAGTATTTCATAATGCAACACAAGTGCAAGCTGCATCCTGAATTTTACAGCAGGGGGCGCTATAATCACAGCCAGACCTGTCCAAGTCAGCGTGTTCACAGCAGATGAACAGCTGAATCTCAGACTGACATAATCATAAAAATGTGATCCATTATGACCCAGGTGAGGTAAAGCAGCTCACTCTCCTCTACTGCCCACGTTTAGTTGGAGCAGTCGGGGGCTGGAGGTTATGGAACCAGCCTTGCGACTGGAAGGTCGCCGGTTTGATCCCCTGAGCCGACAGTACGTGACTGAACCTTGAGCAAGACACCTAAACCCCAACTGCTCCCCAGGCGCTGTGGATAGGGCTGCCCACCGCTCTGGGCAAGTGTGCTCACTGCCCCCTAGTGTGTGTTCAGTAGTGTGCATGTATGTGAGTGTTTCACTGCACAGATGGGTTAAAATGCTGAGGGACTAATAAGGGTCACTTAACTTTGCTGTTCAGGCTGTTGGAATAACAGGAGATCCTCTCTGATGTGTCAAGAATCTGAATCTGAATGAATTATTGCCTTGTCTGTCTTTTCTTTATTCTCTCATTATTCAGGTGCAGTGGGTGAGCTGGAGGATGATTGACAGGTGTGGAGGCGGGGCCCGTGGTCAGGCGACCCAACAGCGTCATGTTTCCATGAAACAGGGTTCGGCCCGTGAAGAGACGGAGGCGTAAAATCCTCCTTAACTTCAGTTCACTACCAGTCTGTGTTTGTGTGACATGAACTCAAAAGGCTTTTTTTATTTGTGCTACTAAAAGAGAAAAGCCTAGAACCGTGTTGATGGGAACCGCATGTAACCATAACGTTTAAATTTTGTACTTCGTATTATTGCTTGACAGACGACGAGTCTTAGAAATGTAGCATAGTTATCCATTTAGCACCGGTACAGCTCTTAAGCTTCACTCTGAGTTCTCTTAGTGTGGTTCTCTGGGTTCTCTGGGTTCTCTGGGTTGAGCGCTGACAGTGCAGAAAAGATCAGACAGTGTTCTATGTAACATACACAACAGTAAACTTCATTATCTGGATATTCAAGGAAAAACCGTGTAATTCACTCTTTATTTCTGTGTCACTAATGATGTAAATAGTTTTTTAGTTGCTAAAAGAGATTTACAAGACTGTCCTTCAATAATAGTTAAAAACAATCAATAAAACAAAATAAGTTCATCTGAAGTTGCCAACATGGAGATAATTTGGTGGTTAATAAGAAAGATCATCTGTTCTGAAGTGTTAGTTATGATAAACGTGACTTGCTGAGCCTCTAATCAGAGTTTCCTTCTCCTCATATTTACATGATATTTTTTTATTCTTCTTTATTGTGATAAACTGTAAACCACCGTCTCTCCTCCCTCACTTCAGGAGTCATGGAGAACGTGCAAAGCGAGTAAGCAAGCCTGTGATTGGATGAGGCTTTAATGTTAACGATCGTAGGATGTCATCGCTGTCAGGACCAAACGTATCTCCATATTTGACGCTTTTTAACCTAGTTTGAAAATGAAATTCTAAATTGTGTAAAAATTAAATTAATTCATATTAAAGTTTTGTTCTCCTCTCCTGTAAAGTTTCATTTTGGAGTTGCGAAGTTTCTTTCCAGCATCGATTATGTGCTAAATGCTTTAACAGCTGAGGCTCAACAAATGACATGCGACGAAGCTTTAGCTTTCAAAAGTTGAACTTATGGCTAAGAAGGTTTACGCCAAAGAGATTTACCTTGTGATGATAATCATGAAGCTAATCGTGCTAATTTTGTCACACTGTTTGAAACGTTGGTCAGTGCTGTAATCTCAGATAAAAGACACACATATTCAGTCCTAGAAGCTCCAGAACTGAACAGATCATCTTCATACTTCGGTATTTGACACAGTGGAAGTCGTCATTGCAGGAAAAAGACATCCCGAACGTTCGTCTGGTGGAGCAGTTTTCATTTTAAGGTTAGCAAGCTTTTCAGTAACACTGTATTTGGATGATCTACTGTAGATGCTTTTTACATGCTCAGTCTGTAACATTCAGCTAAACATCTATTTAATGCAAGTGAACTTGACGTTGAGTGTGAAAGATTCTATTAAATCAACTCTAAAGCTCAAAGCAAGACATACCCTGCTCCTAATCCTGACCCTAAACTTAACGTTTCTGATAATCAACTATCACTAGAAGGTTTGTTAATTATTTTAACTATCTGTAGATCATCTATGAAGGCCCATCCAAATAAAGTGTGACTAGCTTTTCTTATAGCCCTACACTCTCAGAAATAAAGGTCCTAAACTGTCCCTGGGTCAGTTCCCCTCTTGTCACTGGGGTGGAACCCTCAAGGCTCCATCTCAGTACCTTTAGTCAGGGATCATAACTGAACCATAATCCACTGAAATGATATGTTCTAAGCTGTACTGACTCCACACACCCCGTCTCGTCTCCAGGCTTTTATTTTACTGTTCTGTTTAAAACATTCGGTTATGAAAAGGTACAAATACGAACTTTTCACCTGGAAAAACTTATTTAAGGTTCACAATCAGACCTTAAAACCACTGTTGGAGCTTTGAGGGAACATTTACACTGTTTGTACCTTGATGAAGGAAAAATGGACCTGAACAGAACCTTTATTTCTCACAGTGCACCTGCAGGACTGCGAAGTTAAAGATCTCAACACGTTACCCAAGAAAGTCGCTAAAGTTAGCTGCTAATGTTTACTAGAATATAGTCAAAAAAAGTCTCCGTCAGATTCATGACGTGTTCTTAAACTACAGAAATGTTCTCACCTTTGTGCTCTTGAGTGTGTGTAGACTGTGGTGAACAGCATTCTCACAAAAGTTCAGCTAAATCAGTGCACAGGCTCCTTCAGATCACTGTTATACAACAGTTAGCTCCGGCCACGCGAGCTGATTGGTTGAGAGGCGTTCTAACTGTGCTGATATTTCACCATAACATCACAGGTTTTTCACAAACACTGTATCACTCCGCTGAGACGCCGTTGCTAAGCAACCACTTTGACAGCTGTAGGAGACGCTCAAGACATTTGAACGTTTTTACTTCTTACTTTGCCACAAACAGAAAACGGACACTTTTAAGATCACATTTGACCGACAGCTGATTTGGTCAGACTCTGACGATGAGACGACACTAAATTCCCAAACTGTCAGTTGGTCTGTGTGGAGCTGGAGAACGAACTGCCGGCTGTGCAGCGAGTGGGCGGAGCTCGTTACTCTGACGTAGCAACGAGCTGCTCGTTAAGGAACTATAATTTGGTGAAGGAACTGCGAACATTAAAACATATTAAACGCCGCGTTCACGGCCCAGTTTATTAATTTATTACTTTATTTATTTAACTGTTGTATTAAAGCAGTAGAACACTCGAGGAGTGTGTTATCGCCAATAACATCACGGCTGTGATGATCTACGGTGACCAAATCACAGCCGTGATGTTATTTCACGATAACACACTCCCTCTGTGTTCTATTGCTTAAATAAACAGTTTAATAAAACAAAATGAAAAACAAATCTGACACCACAGAACTGATGTTCTGTCCAAAGTGTATGGATAAAACCATATTAGGCTAGATTTCCAATATCCCACCTTGATGTGTCCTTATACCCCCAAAACACCTATATTGATCTGTAGCACCTACCTCAGTCTACAACCTGGACATTCACAACAGTGGACAAATCAAAGTTTGCCTTTTTAAAAATGTGAAAATGTAAAGATTAGTCAGCCAAAAGACGATGAACTGATGTTAACTTGACTAACAAACTGTACAGCATTGACTGCTTTTCATTTAACATTAGCAGCTAATGTTAGCTGAGAGTCTTAACTCACGTTTGTACTCATGCAGGTAACTCTGGAAGAAAAGCTTGTAGACCTTGTTCTTCTCTCCTTCACCACAACATGTTTAGTGGTAAAAGGAGGTAATACCTTAACGAGGATGTAGCTCCTCTACATTCTCGCTCCTAAACGCCGCCACTACTGTAACGTTTTCCCTACTGTGTCGATCCACAAGGTCAGTTCGACTTTCAGCTCTCGTTCACATCCCAGCATTTAAAAATATAATCACTGTATAAAAGTGCTTACATAACGTTTGTGCTCCTGAATATTCGCCCTCAGTAACATCTTATATTTTTCACAGTCAGAGTTTTTATAACATTGTATAACGTTTGCATTAAATGGTCATTCATGTCTGGATGGACATTAACACCACTGTACTGCGTCCCGTATTTCTGTGGTCAGCCCAAATGTAAGCACATTAACAGTTTTTTATGAGTATTAATGTGGTGTAATGTTACAGTGTTGAGGTTGGGTGACCGTTTGGGCAGTGATTGAAAAGGTTTTAATGCTGGACAGTGTCATCGTTCTGGGTCAAAAATCTGCAGTAGCTTTTTGTGAATGCTGCCTTTCATAAAGTTAGGTTGGATTTTTCTCCTTAATTAAACGTGTAAGATGTAAACAGAGCGGTTCAGAGCGGTTTGGTGTGTCAGAACTGTTTACAGTGGTGGTGATAGGAACCAGACGTCCACCTCTAAAAGCTCCCTCACAGAAAGTTCCTACATGAAATGGTTATGAATTCACTGCCTGATGACTGAGACACTGTTTTATGATAGTTTAGAGAAGATTTAGGTCTAAAACGTAAAGATATCAGAGCCAGTAAGTTTCTCTAGAATTAACGATTTCACATAAAACCACTCTGAATGAATTTGTTTACATCTCAATCACTGAAATAAATTTTGAATAAAATTTTTAAGCAAAATATGGATATTGGTTGTTAAGTGTTGCTGAACCCCAATACGAAGTTTCAGCTGAGGCATGAACAAACTAATTTGAATTTGAACTCATGGCTGACTTCACTGACTTGTTTATTTTATTGTTATTATTTTTTATTTCCAGATTAATTAGTTAAGTTTTTTATATGCTGAATTGGTTTTGAACTGATGTAGTTGAGTCCAAGCCTGGTGACTGGACTGGATATGCTTATAGCAAGAAATGATACTACATGCATAAATCTAACATCAAAAATATGAAAGATTTCTCCATTATTTCTGAAAAATGGTCCCAGTCTTCGACTTAAATCCCCTCTTTATGCTCCGCCCACAAACGTATACTTTCATAGCTATTTTTGTGATGTACAAACTTTAAAGTAGTAAACCTAATGAGAAACTGTAGAACTGACTCAGTTTATATCACAATACCTACATTTAGAGTCAGTTATTCATTCAGCCTAATGAGAAACTGTAGAACTGACTCAGTTTATATCACAATACCTACATTTAGAGTCAGTTATTCATTTAGCCTAATGAGAAACTGTAGAACTGACTCAGTTTATATCACAATACCTACATTTAGAGTCAGTTATTCATTCAGCCTAATGAGAAACTGTAGAACAGACTGAGTTTATATCACAATACCTACATTTAGAGTCGGTTATTCATTCAGCCTAATGAGAAACTGTAGAACAGACTGAGTTTATATCACAATACCTACATTTAGAGTCAGTTATTCATTCAGCCTAATGAGAAACTGTAGAACTGACTCAGTTTATATCACAATACCTACATTTAGAGTCAGTTATTCATTCAGCCTAATGAGAAACTGTAGAACAGACTCAGTTTATATCACAATACCTACATTTAGAGTCGGTTATTCATTCAGCCTAATGAGAAACTGTAGAACAGAGTCAGTTTATATCACAATACCTACATTTAGAGTCAGTTATTCATTCAACCTAATGAGAAACTGTAGAACAGACTGAGTTTATATCACAATACCTACATTTAGAGTCAGTTATTCATTCAACCTAATGAGAAACTGTAGAACAGACTGAGTTTATATCACAATACCTACATTTAGAGTCAGTTATTCATTTAACCTGATGAATGAACTTTAGTGGTGATCTACAGTTTCTCATTAGGATGAATGAGATTTTGTCTGTGTACTATAAAGCACTGATGTGGGCGGAGCTTAGATGGGGCAATTGGAATTCAGAAAGTGGTAACAAATGTCCAGTTTTGGTGATGCACACGTTCCTGCCCTCCCACCTGAGGGAAAGACTAAAGAGGAAGGGAGGAGTAAAGAGAAGCTGAGTGAAGTAATATGATGAATATGCATTTTTACTGAATCTTTTTAGTTTGAAACTTTTTTTTGTCAAAGAAATAAAATATATTAACGACTTGTGTTTTGTTTTGTATTGTCTTGCTGCATTGATTTATATACAGTACATTTATTGATTTATTGCAAAAACTAGGCTTTGTTATTACATCGTGTTGCATCATAGAGGTTTTTTATGCATGTTATACTAAAACCTGTAACACTCACCAGCCCTGTTCCTGGAGATCTGCCTTCCATCACGATTCACCTGCAGCCAATAAGATAGCATTTTAAAATCCCTGCTGAGAAACTAGTGTTACAGCCACATACACACAATACACCACAACACGGGTAAAGAAAACAAAATAAAGACATAAAGAGAGATTCCAAAGTGATGTACAGTGGACACAGCACTGTTCCAAGACATACAGATACACAGAGCTGTCTGGATATGTAGATACGAGTTGATGAATTGTTGTTATTTTTCAGTTTTTGACAATTTGAAAACACCTGTTGGTCTTTACATGTCAGTAGGGCCTCACTTTGCTCTCAAAACAGCCTCAGTTCTTCACAGCATAGATTCCACAAGATGTTGGAAACTTTCCTTTGAGATTCTGGTCTGTGATTATATGATGGTTCCTGCTGCACTTTCATGCTGTGAATCTCCGGTTCTACCACATCCCAAAGGGGTTCCGCTGGTCCAGTGAGGGAAGGCCACTGAACTCTCCATGAAAGTGGGGTGACTTTTGCTTTGTGACATGATGCATCATCATGCTGGAAGCAGCCATGAGAAGATGGTAAATTGTGGCCATAAAGGGAAGAACATGGTCAGCAACAACACTCAAACAGGCTGTGGCGTTCAAGCGATGATTGGTCGGTATTAATGGCCCAAAGTGTCCCGAGAAAACTCTCCCCACCCCATTACACCACCTCCACCAGCCTGGACTGCTGACACAAGGCAGGTTGAGTCCATGGATTCACGCTGCTGGTGCCAAATCTTAACCCCACCATCTGTGAGCCTCAGCAGGAACCGAAATTCATCAGACCAGGCTGAGCTTTTGGTATTTTTAGTACAGATAATATTGGAATTCTATCCATGTTAAAAGAAGTTCCTGCACAACTCGGTAAAAAACAATTAAATGTTTACGCCCTCTAGTGTTTTTTGATATAATAGGAGAAATAGGAAGTGACCCGGCTCGCCTTAAACCAGCTCAGGATATGGTTGCAATGCACAGACACAGCAACACCCCCGTTACCAAAAACACCATGGAGCACTTGTATGTTCTTATCCACCTACTGACCTCATAGTTTTATATAGATTTTATGTAGTAGATGGTGGCAGCTTAACTCAAGATTGTGGCAGCTCAACAACGCAAGACCTGCAACAACGGCACTCAAAGCAGCTTTGGCTATTTTTTATCCCCCAACGTTTCATTTTTTCAAGTATTATTAATTAATATTTTCTGGCTTGTTAAGATCTGCAGTATCAACACATGAGCAGCTGAGTTTTCTGTCTGTTAATTTGAAGTTATAACCAGCTTAATGGCTTTGTTTTAACATTTCATGCCCGATTTTTAAAAATATCAGGAATGTATCTTATATTATTATGATATTGATTGAAACCCATTTTAAAGACACTGCTGTTTATTTACAAGTAAGGCTTCTCTCATATTGAGGCTGAAGCTCTTTCATTTTCATTTTCCGAAATTTTGTACCAAATGAAGTTTTTAGAAAATGCTTAAAGGAAGATTCGTATCGCTGCTGTCGGAAGAAAAGCTTGTATCTCCAAACTGGCAACTTTACAGGCACCTTTAATGTGAGTCAATGGACCCAGACTTTTTGTCCAAGTCATTCTGGGCCGTTTCAGTTTTCTTCCAACAGCAGCGAAATGTTTGTTTTGCTAATTTTAGGTAATTATTATAATATCAGATCAAATTAGTGTGACTTAAATTTTTAATTTTTCTTATTTAATTTTTAATTCATTTTTATTTGCTTTAATTTATTGATTGATTTCTTCTCTCTTAAATCTGTTGTTTTGTTTTAATCTGTTTTATGTGCTGTAAAGCACTTTGAATGGCCGCAGTGCATGAAGGGTGCTGTGTAAACAAACTTGCTTTACCTTAAATTAAGCCACAGTGTCATAAACCAGTATCAGCTCAGATCTTATTCTAAAAGCTCTTATTAAGTCAGATCTTCTCACCATACTGACAGATCATTTTGTGACTGAAGTCCCCTTTTCCTTGATTTGGTGTTTCCTCTGTTCTGCAGTGTGGACAGGAGTGGACAGTCTGGCCGCATTGTGTTGTCATGGTGATTTTGGGAGCTGAATTGTCTCTCTGTTTGATGCGGTGATGCTGTTGGTCCATTTCTTCCCTGTGTTTTTCTCCGAAAGGGCTTGGAGTGTTTTTCAGGCTCTGGTGTGACTCAACTCTCTCCACTCAGCCGAGCGGCCGCTCCCCTCCACTGCATGCGTTTAGAGCCTACTGTGTTTTATGTTATGTCTTTTTGCCTCTGTAAACAACAGGGTCACTCTGAACCTCAGACTGAGCTTCCTCTCAATGAAAGCACCTTTCTGTGACGTGTTTAATCAGCTTAATTACATTAATCAAACTCTATTAGCGTCACTAATAAATGTGCATCTCAGAGAGAAACAAGACTATTTCACATCAACAAGGGTTTTTGCATAATTACGGTTTTACTGTACCTGTAAACATCTCTGTTTAATGACTGTGAGTGAATTTTAGTTGCAACAACTGCCTTATAGTGACCCCAAGTGGCGGAAACTAGTACTGCACAGCTCCCATAAAAAGCCTGAAAATAATGGTCCTCATTCTCCAATAAGTGTGTTCTTAAGTGTGTTGTTGAGAAGGTCCTAATAAAAAGTCTCCGTCAGATTCATGACGTGTTCTTACAGCGCAGAACTGTGTTGAGTGTGTGTAGGTGGGTTCTGGTAACACTTTCTATGAATGCCGTGTCTATGAGCATCTGTAAACACATTCATAACACTTTCTAAGGCATTATAAACATGGCTATAATTATATTTATGAAAATGAGTTACACTTTATAGCCGTGCGACAGAAGTGACTGAAAGATAAAATAATAAAACTGTTTTTGGTGCTTCGAGCTGAACCCTGCTTGGTGACGCTACACTGAAGAACGACAACAAAGAGCTCTAGACTAGACTTGGTTTGATGTTTAGGTTATTTCCAGTGACACAGACCCAGAAATCAATCAAATTCTGATTGTGGATACACTAAAACAGTAACCCAGAGTAATTACTCCAGTCACAGCTCATTCACTATCATTAAGCCATTTTCTTTATTAATACTTGTACTTAAGTAAATAGTCACTACAGTAACAGCAGTCTTACTGTAAAATTACCTTTCAGGACTCTTTCCACCCTCAGTAATCAGGCGTAGTAATTCTGTGTATATAATCGATCAATCAATCAATCTATCTATCTGTCAGTCTGTCTGTCTGTCTATCTATCTAGATGTCTGTCTGTCTGTCTGTCTGTGGCTGTGAATGAAAGCCATGTGTTGCGGTGCTGTTGATGGTGAATATTAGAATAAACCCAGTCTGATGGAGCCCAGGCAGTGTGGTAATGGTTCTTGGTCTATCTGTCTGTCTATCTGGTTTATCTGTCTGTCTGTCTGTCTGTCTATCTATCTGTCTTTCTTTCTGTCTATCTATCTACCTACCTATCTATCTATTTATCTGTCTGTCTGTCTGGTTGTCTGTCTGTCTGTCTGTCTGTGGTTGTGAATGAAAGCCATGTGCTGCGGTGTTGTTGATGGTGAGTATTAGAATAAACCCAGTCTGATGGAGCCCAGGCAGTGTGGTCATGGTTCCTGGTCTATCTGTCTGTCCGTCTGGTTGTCTGTCTGTCTGTTTATCTGTCTGTCTGTCTGTCTCTGTCTGTCTGTCTGTCTATCTATCTATCTATCTGTCTGTCTGTCCGTCTGGTTGTCTGTCTGTCTGTTTATCTATCTATCTGTCTGTCTGTCTCTGTCTATCTGTCTGTCTATCTGTCTGTCTGTCTGATGGAGCCCAGGCAGTGTGGTCATGGTTCCTGGTCCGGTTTGTAGATGGACAGGGTTCTGGCTGAAGGGTCGCAGGCTTTAATCCAGCGGGGCATCCAGTAATGCGGGGTCCACCCAGAGCGGCCGGGGTAGTGTTTCTCAAACATCTGTCTGATGAAGAAGCCCTCTTTAGTGGTGGGGGGGTTGTAAGGAAACAGCTTTGCTGCTTTCTCCATTTGAGAGTCATTAACCTACAAAAACAGAAATTATTATTATTATTATTATTATTATTATTATTCATTCATGCATTCTCATGAAGTTCTTGAGCTCTGGAGTATATATATATATACACACACACACACACACACACACATATATATATATATATATATATTATTCCGAGGCTGTGGAGCACGCAACACCATGAGTCATGTGATCATGTAATACCTTAGTATGAATCTTTCATTAAGTTAAATCAGTTTAAATAGTCCATCATTACGAACCAGTTAAATCAGTCTTTCATAGCCTAATTTAAAAATATAATTATTTACATAACTAACCTCGATTCCAGAAAGTTGGGCCGGTATGTGAAATGCTAATAAACACAAAGTTGTGGCTTTTCGGCGAAGTAGCTAATGCTGTATATCTGCTGATCTTTATTCTGACTTCTATTATCATTTTTTGGAGATTTCATATATTTAATGGTATTTGTTGAACTCTGTGCCGGTGGTGTTTTTGTGATGGGGTTCAGCTGGTTTTGTCTTGTTTAGCTTTAGGTTGATGTGCTTGGTGCTGATAATGTGTGCTGTCCAGCTGTCATTCTTTCTGCTGCTTTGTTATCATAATATAATATATGGGTCATTGACACGACGTGCAGTTTTTGTGTTAAAGTTCATTAATTTCCCAAAAAATATTTTAATAAATACATGACACACATCATATTATTCAACCATATTTCTTTGTCAGGTGGTGCAACTGTTCAACCACATATGCTGATTATGTAAATGATCAAAAAAGGCAATTTAGTAATTTAGTAATTTAAAATTCTAAATAAAATAGTTGGCATGATTTTATGTTAAACTTTAAAACAAAATCGTTTGAGTCGTGGTTAGAACGATTCAGTTTACCATGTCAGGTGGTCCGACCTCAGGAGAACCATGAACATGTAGAATTTGTGGATTGTAATAAAAACTGAAGTTGAAGGACAAAGGTTTCTACGGGTGTCTAAGTAGATGCCTGCTTAATTTGAAATTGGTCTGAAAAGTCAGGCGGCGCAACCAGCGCAGTTTAATAACTGAAACAGGCGAGTAAAACTTTGATAACACTCACTGTATTTAAGACAGAAAACACACAAGATAGAAATGCAGATATAAAAAATGTCTTTTTTAATAAGATTTTGAAAACTGTCATTTTGAAAAACCTTATTTGTCACTGACCCATATATTAGAGTGATGAACAATAGCAGCCCCCTTCCAGTTGGTGAAACAACAGCCGCTGTTTATTATAATATTGTATAATGTTCTACAGGCAAATCACACTTATTACTGAGATAAACGGGTAAAAGGCTCTAACGACTTGTGTGCGGTACTGTATGGGTGCTTCTACCTCAGACTCAATGTGCTCCTGTAAGCTGGTGTACCAGGACTTCCTCACGGACGTCAAACCGTCACTGAACGCCTCTTTACGCCTCCACAGTATTTCATCCGGAATCAGATTCAGCTCTTTGAACGCGTCCCTCAGGAGGTACTTCTCCACTCCATCCTGTCTTCAGTAAAGCAGATTCTTTGTTAGAATAACACAGCTAAACTCAGAATACCTGCATCACTTGGTTTAAGAGCATCAATAATCCATCAATTGTTGTGTTTCACGTGACGTCACACTGTATAGTGGCTGCCATTTCGAGGACTGAATCAGGGAGTGACTCCGCTGTGCAATGCTTTAATTAGCTGTGCTTTGTGAACGATTCACCTGTAAGACCTGTTGGAGCCGCTGCACTGTACAGTTTAGTGTTCCTCTCTGCTGTTCTCACCTTGTTCAGCTCAAGAAGGGATTAATCAGCTAATAATATCAGGTATTTTAACCAGGAAACCACAGTTCTGCAGTGCAGGGGTTTCAGGACTGGAGCTGAACTCTGAACTCTGAACTAGCAAACTTACAGAATCACGTCTGTCGAAACACGACGTCGTTTTCAGACCCACGACATTCAGTCTGATATTTAACGCTTATGTTTCTCCATCATTTAAATCAGAAACAGAGAGTAAAGTTATACCGGCGGTCTGCAGCTCCGCTAGGGGGCGACTGTTCATCTCTCGGCTGATAACATCAGCTAAAGTTATCTAAAGGCCAGCATTGATCTCATCTGTGTTACTTAGCTGATGTCGTTACCCTCCTATGATCACAGAGTTCATCTCCTCCAGACCACCATGGGATCCTTCACCCACCCTGACGTGAAGAGTCGGTGGGCTTCTGTGCTTTTAAACGCTTTGAGAGACTCTCCAGAATAGGGGGAGGGGCTGAGTATGAGATCAATATAAATGTATAATAATTTCTCGACCGCAAATGAAGGAGCCTTTGGAATGGGACGGCCTAGTCACGCCGCTGTGATGCAATCAGCCTTGAAATGCAGCCTCCGAAGGATGCAGCCCCTGAATTGGGACACAGCTTTTGTCTGTGGCAGGACTCCCAACCCAAATGTTAAGAAGAGCCATTTTGTCCTTTCCACAAAAAACAAGCCACCTTGGGAGCCACAAGATTTTATGTCCATTTTATTGAAGTAAAATTTTACCATCTTGGCTGTAAACATGTCTCAGTATGTGCTGATTTACTGGTATAGGATAAATAATATAAACGAAAAGCCAGACTTACTTTGCTCTTTCAGCTTTAGCTCAGCTATAGCTGCTTTTCTCACATCTCTGGCAGGAAACTTTTCCCCAAAAGTAGAACAGTTTCTACTAAAATGTCTTTTAATGTTTGACTTCTTACAAAAATGGTGCCAGAGAAGCCAGAATGTAACTGCTGCACCATTTAAGGTGGAACGGGACAATTAGAACAAGAAGCTAGCGAATGAGAAACTGACTTCATCTTCACGACTTTAGTGTTTGACAGTTTCTCGCTCTGATTCTGCTGAGGAGCAACAGGACAGTAAAAGAGCTGTGTTGACGTTACTGTCTGTGGTAATGAACCATAAGCCAGAGATGCAGCTGATGGAGATTAGGCTGGAAAACACACACAAAAGGAGAGACAAACAGAAATCTGTCATCACCTTGGGCGTCCTCATCTCCTCAGGCAGGGAGAGGTAGTAGGCCGTAAGCCTGTGGTCCAGGAAAGGAACCCTCAGTTCTAGACTGTGACACCAGAAGAGAGAAATGAGACATTAAAGACAAAGTAACGTATAAAAAGGCTGCTGTGCACAGCAATAACATTAATCTTTCTTGGTATGAAAAAATGTCATGAAATCTAAAGAATTAATCACATCCTGCATTCTAAATATTAGCTTGTCATGCAAAAATACACACAGATATATTTATATATATAATTTATTTATTTATTGTGAGTGCCTTCAGCGTATGGTGGTAGTCTTAACTTCATTTTTAAGAAAAAAGTTATAAAAAATATTATTTTTTATTAAATTATTAGTTATTCTTCAAATAACTTCTATATTACGGAAGTCCAGAGAGGCCATGACCTGTTGCTATAATTTTCTGGATTGTTATCTTAAGACAACGAGTTAATTATCTTGTTATCTCAGGCGTGGTCCACCCCCAAACCTCAGTTATTCCATAAGTAATTAGCAGACAGTGTAGATGTAGCTGTGTGGTCACCCGTGTGCAGCTGTGGTCCTGTCAGCTCTCAGCACGTCGAACAGATACAGCTCCTTCAGCAAGCGCACACTTTCCTCTGCGGCACATTTCGGAGACGGTGCCTGAACAGAGCAGATCATTTTCATTAATAATTGTAATTTAATAAGGTAAATAATAATGGTCTTTGGTGTATAACGTTGTGTAATATGGGCATTTGTATTGAATTGTATTGAAACTAAGTCTCTTTAACCCCTTAAATGGCCAAGACATCCATGGCGGTTCCAAACTTGTATTACACGCTAAAATGTCCAAAGAATAACTGAGGCGGTGGCTTTGTAGTTACTGAATAATAAGCTATAAGCCACAGCAACACTGAAGCAGAGCACAATCTGCCTGGCAAAGCAGCCAGTTCCCTTCAAAAGATGCAGGAACACAGAGAGGAAAAGGCAGCCTGGGACTGTGAGTTTGGGGGAGCTGTAATATCTTCTTTCTGGACTAAGTAGAGGAGCTGCTCCTCAGTCAAAATGGCGCTGTGAAGCCCAGTCACACATCCCCGTCCTGACTTCACTTCCCAAGAACCCTGAGTCAGAGTCAGCACGTTTCCATTGTCATGCAAACAAAATAGCCAGTGTAACAGGTTTTATTTGGTTCCATTACATTTCCCTCAAAACCTTCATCCTCTCTCTGCTGGCGTTTATTTAAACGATAGAAAATGTAAAAAAAATGTGGAAGATATTAATTTTTATTTTTATCATTATTATTATTATTATTGTTTTTCTCTATTCTTTGAGGGGCATCACTATGATGTCATCTTGTGCGTCAGTCAAACTCTCTTCAGCCCTGCTGGAGAGGCTAATGCAGGCAGACGCGAGGCTGGATGCAGTTTCTTACAGCCTTTCTCTCTTATACAGCCAGAAAGCTCTTCAAATAAACGACCCCAGGGCTGGTACCAGCGTCTCTTTTCTTCTGCAACGCAATGCAGGGTGAGGATGGGCTCTCCTCACGTAACCCTGCATGCAGAGAGAACTGGCTACACTAGTCAACAGTACGGTGTGAATGACGCTTTAGGACAGAATAAGCCTGGAATTTTAAGGTGTTAAACAAGACGCTGTATTATAAGTTTACCGCGTAATTATTCAGATTGTACTGTAATATATTGTCATAACTCTCTGTATTGTAGATGTCTGTCATCGTGATTTGATGAGCAAATAATTTCACTAGAAAAATCTAAAAATCTAAACCCAAAATTTAAATATACTTCATTACAGCTTCAGAATGAAAAGGGTTCCCACTCCTTATTGGACTGATCCTCAACACGGACACTGCCGACTACACTCTTAAAAAAAAGATGGTTCTTCAAGGGTTCTTTAGTAAAGAAAATGGTTCTTCAGATTGATGGAGAATATGTTGTTCTATATAGCACCCAAAAGGGTTCTTCTATTGTGACACAGAACCATATTTAAACACACTCCATCAATCTGAAGAACCCTTTAATCATGCAAATGGTTCTTCGAGTGTTCGTGGTTCTACATAGAACCGTTATCTTTACTGAAGAACCTTTGAAGAACCATCTTTTTTAAGTGTGTTCCTATGTTCCGGCATTGCGATGTGACTGTCTGACCTGCAGTTTGTACCTTGTGGAAGTAGATGTATCCCTGAGTGAGTTCATCAGATCCCTCACCGGAGAAGATCACCACGCTGTCCGTCTTGTCGTGGATGTACTTAGATATCAGATACATGCCTGGAAACACAGACAGAGACTCAAACTGTCCAACCGCCACTTCATATGTATGGAAAAAGCTACATTTCCTTCAGAAAACACGTTTTTTATAGTTTTTCATTAAGTCAAAATTATAATTCCCATCTGCTGGAGTGTGAAATTATTTTTTTTACCTTTAGTCTCATTTTAATCTTTTCTAAATTATGAGAAATTGCTGAAATATGTTTGTTTCTTAACTTACTTCCTTTAAGAACTTCCTGTTCAGTATTCATTTGTATGCAATGTTCCAGTAAATTCTGTCATTTAGCAGTCAGCACAGCATATGTTTACTAATTCAATCAGCTTTGTTTAGGAAAAGAAATCAAATTCTGATTACCTGAAAATGAATATGATTCATTTTATGTTTTGTTTGAACTGTTATTTGTGGTTTAAAATGATGTTTTATAGTGTACAAAAAACTGAAACATTCATAATGTTTTATCATGGTAACACGGTTTCATCTACAATAAAACACAATTCATTCATTTCAATTAAAACAGAATTGGTCTCTCCATTAAAATATTAATAGATCTTAAAGAGCAACAAATTGTTTAGCTACTCATATTTATCCTAAATAAAAGCAGCAGAATCAGTAACGCTTTGTTTGGATGGTCCACTGTAGATGCTCAGTTTACTTTTAACTAACATTCAGCTAAACACCTATTAAATGCAACTGAACTTGACGTTACATCTGAAAGGCTGTATTAAATCTGTCCCTAATCCTAAACCTAAACCTAACACTAACCTAAATGTTGATAATCAAATGAACATCAACAGAAACTTTGTTAACAATGTAAGTATCTGTAGATCGTCTATAAGGGACCATCTGAATAAAGAGTGACCGCAGAATCAGATGTACTGAAACAGCAGATATGTTTGTCCTCACAAACCACATGAAATATGAAGTAAAAGGCCTGAAGGCAGTGATATTAAACCCAGAGTGGAAACGGGAATGTGCATCGACGCTAACATAACACTGCAAATCCCATAAGGGGAGAAGTTAGCATTAGCATCACTGTAGTGGTGGTGATTGGACAGAAACAAAATCATTCAGTGCTGCTTCATAGTGGAACGAGTGGCTGTTACTTGTATTTGATAATATAGTTAAGTTGTAAGACTCCCTAGTTCATCTTTCTGAAATGAGGATTTATATTTTGGAATCGTATATGGATTATTATTGGTTATAAAAAAGTAAATTACTCAAATCCTAATACAGTGACAGCCCTAACACCGCTGCATGATGCTGCCTCAGGCTATTAAACCCATTTTCCTCACTTTACAATGACGTGATACAAATTTACTGACAATGAAAGGGTTAATAACGAAAAGGACTGATTGAATAAAAGCAATAAAACCTTATACTTGGTCACATTGTGTCCCGGTGGACATTATCAATTATCTATTATACAACACAGCTCCTAAAATCTGACTGGCTGAGCCTCATATACGCTCACCGACCGCCTCACAGCAGCTGAACTCTGTATCAGTGCCATGAAAAACCCTTGTGCTGTTAATGGATAATCTCTGATTCTAATGCTGCTCGCATGGAGCACTGAGTGTACTGATGGCGTAAGAACCTGGTTCTGTTTAAACTGAGGAGCTGACAGCTTGTTTTCTTATCTAGAACTAGGCTGATCAGCTAGCTAACAGGCTAAAACAGCTCCATTGTTAATATTACAGGCTTGGATTAAAGTGATTACAGTGTGATTCACTGTAAAACTGCAGTATAAAAGTCTAAAAAATGTCACTTGAATGTTTTACACACTTCAAATGTTCGTGTTTCAGTCAGAAGTCGCGTCAAACCCAGACTGAGTCTCAAACGGCTCCGTAGTCCCTAAATGGTGTTCTAGGGAAGTTTAGAAATTCCAGCTTAAACAGCCAAACAAACCTCTTAGCTATATAATGCTCTGTTGGGCTGCAGGAGCCAGTATTTATATTCCTGTGTAGTGCACTATGTAGGGAGCAGGAGCCGTTTGAGATTCAGCCCCACCCAGACAGCAACTAGTTTTGGGCTGATTCTGGCTTCCCCATGTTGGTTGACTACTGGGTAGACGTTAGGCGTGCGGCCCAGAATAGGGCCAGATCCTGGGCAGCTTTATACCATTTTGCCTCGTGTCTACATTTGTGGGACAGTTCTGGTGTGAATATTGTGGACCAACAATGTTGTTGGGCCAGATTGGGACCAGATTTGGGCCATATACTACAGTTCTACTCACTTTACAGTGTGTGGGCCAGATCTGGGCCGAGGACCCAGCTGTATACTGTCGTTCAGCTGTCCATAGTTGCTTGGCAACAATACCGTACTCTAAAGAAGCTACATTTCCTTCAGAAAACACATTTTTATTGTTTTTCATTAAGTCAAAATTATAATTCCCATCTGCTGGAGTGTGAAATATTTTTTTTTACCATGAGTCTCATTTTAATCAATTCTAAATTATGAGAAATTGCTGAAATATGTTTGTTTCTTAACTTACTTCCTTTAAGAACTTCCTGTTCAGTATTCATTTGTATGCAATGTTCCAGTAAATTCTGTCATTCAGCAGTCAGCACAGCATATGTTTACTAAATCAATCAGCTTTGTTTAGGAAAAGAAATCAAATTCTGATTACCTGAAAATGAATATGATTCATTTTATGTTTTGTTTGAACTGTTATTTGTGGTTTAAAATGATTGTTTGTAGTGTACAAAAAACTGAAACATTCATAATGTTTTATCATGGTAACACGGTTTCATCTACAATAAAACAAAATTCATTCATTTCATTTAAAACAGAATTGGTCTCTCCATTAAAATATTAATAGATCTTAAAGAGCAACAAATTGTTTAGCTACTCATATTTATCCTAAATAAATAAGTCCTGTTTCTTATCTGGTGCTTTATAATTTTTTTCCATTGTTGCACAATGCTGCCTCGAGGTAACGCCCCAAAAGGACCTCCACACAATATTTTTTAAAAATTGTGTTTTATGCGAGTGTCTCACACCCATCCAGCCCCAACTCTCTGGTGGACTCCATTTCCCAGAACCCTCTGGGTGAACATGTGACTATTCTGTGTATCAGAGATCTGCCTCGCCTGATTATTGAGTTGTTTCCCCTGTTTCTGTGTGTCATGTGATCAGCTGAGTTTAGTTATAAACCCGGGCTTTAGGTTTGCTCAGCGTTTTGCTTCTGATTCAGAGCTGCTGAGCAGCTTCCCTGTGTTCCGGTTGTTTAACTCTGGTCCTGATTTTTCTTCTGTGTTTCTGACTTTTGTCTGTTCCCTTTTTTGGATTTCGTCTGCCTGGTTTGTTTTGTGTTTCGTTTTTCTGCTTGTATATTTTATATCTGACCTCTGCCTGTTTTTTTTTGACGACTCTGGAAAGCGATTAAACTCATAAAGCCTCCTTTGCCTTTTTTATCCGAACACGTCTGACTCGTTCTGTCCGATTACAGCGAGAACTATGAACCGTCTGAACCGTTTAAACATTGCTGTCATTATATATGCAGTAGAGTTTTACTGTACCGCAGCGGCAGGTAGACCTCCTGTAATAAAACGGAAAAAAATCAGGCTCCCATAAAAGGTCAACAGGAAAGGCTGTGCTGACCAACAGATGCACGCACGGTGGTGATGTCATAACTCTCCAGGTGGAAGATGACGTCATCCAGAGCGTTGATTCCTTCCTCTGGGGTGAAATTCACTTCGTGGTGTTCGCTGCCTATGTGTGCAGCCACCTACACAACCAGAACAACACGAATAAACCACAGTATGTTTTATAATAATAATAATAATAATAATAATGATAATGATAATAATAAGCATTTATTTATAAAACACTTTGCATTTTAGTTACAAAATCCCAAAGTGCTTTACATACAATCATTAAAATGATGGTTCTTCAAGGGTTCTTTAGCAAAGAAAATAGTTCTGTGTAGAACCATGAACACTCAAAGAACCCTCTGCATGATTAAAAAAGGGTTCTTCTACTAATGCCAAGCCTGTAACAATAGAAGAACCCTTTTTGGAGCTATATAGAACCCTATTCAAAAAGGTTCTATGTTGAACCATATAAAACACATTCTCCATCAGTCTGAACGAACACGCAAAGAACCATTTCATCATGCAAACGATTCTTTGAGTGTTTATGGTTCTACACAGAACCGTTGTCTTTGCTAAAGAACCCTTGAAGAACATTCTTTTTAAAGTGTGTAGGAATATCAATAAAAACATTGGAAAAATAATAACATTCAAAAAGAGCACAGAGGCCCACACTCAACAATTACATAAACAAGGCAGGCCACACGGTGGCGCAGTGGGTAACAATAACAACAACGATGATGGTGAGTAGAGCGTGTGCAGCTCACTCAAACGCTCGAGTTTGAAGCAAAAACAGCCTCATCTCAGTTTCAGTGGTCTGTCAGCTGATGATGTTCAGAGGAGAAATGAGTCTGTGGGATTAATAAAGGAATAAACTTTGTCATACGGAGTAAAAGACCCTCTGTGTCTGCATCTCAGCGCTGCTGACCAACGTTACACTGAATGCAGTTTGTGGTTTAAAGTTGCTGCCTCAGCCGCTTTCAGAGGAACAGTTTTCACTTCCTGCCTCTAAAGCCGTCGGTATCTGAGCGAGCGAGAGCTCAGCGGGGAGCAGGTGTTCATTCAGTGTTTGTGTAAAACATCTACAGTGGCGCTACGGACCCTGACGACCCAGTGCGCCCCCTGCTGGTGTCTGTGTGTGTTTAGCTTTTTGCCAACCAGTTTACTGTTAGTGAGCTGTTTCAGTATCTCCAGCTAACGTGGCTAATCCAGCGTTTTGGTTATGGTTATTTTCACCTCTGTTGATTTATCTCTCTGTAGACGTAGCTGACATCACTCTGCTCTGATAGCTGTGAAGGAGTTTTTCCACAAAGCATTTAAACCCTTTATTTAGTCTGGACTCCACACTGTTGTGTGTTTTGTTCTCCAACAGTTCTGGACGCTTCCTCCAATTTCAATCTTGGCAACTATGACAAAGATAAAGCGACTCACCGTTCTTTGGTGACTGAGGTGATACGAACGCCTGTATTTCTGAGGTTATAACTGTCCGTAAGGCAATAGCAGAATCTTTTACTCAGCGTTTACACACTTCTGTTTCTTGTGAAAAGGGTCTATTCGTGACATGTTCTACAGAAATACGTGTTCTACTGATGGAATTCAGCATCTGCCCATTGACTTCTATTACTGTTTGTGATAACTGACTACACAATAAATGCTCTGCATTAGGTTAAAAACTTTGCTTTAAATTGTCTCTGCTGACTAAACACCACTGACCTTGCGTGCAGCTGCAATGTCTGGACTATCTTCTGTCCCGATCGCGAACGTCTGAATGGGGTAAGGTAACTGCTTCTCCTTGGCCAGCTTGACGAGAGTGGCAGCTACTAGGCTGGAGTCGAGTCCACCTGGAACACAGGAGAGGGTTTGGTAGGAACTTCTGCCTTTGTGTAGTGAACATGTCTGTAAAATCACACCTGAAACGAAGGCATGTTTAAAGAGAAAGCTAAGACTGAGCCATTTTAATGGGGGCACCTGATAGGAGACACCCGATTCTCCTGTGGGCCATCAGCCGCTTCCTCACAGCGTTCTCAAACAGCAGCCTGATGTTGCTCTTCACTGTCTCCAGAGCAAAGCCTGGTCAATCATACAGGCAGACGTGTTATTTGAAATTATTGTTATTAAAAAGACAAGAGGAGAGCTTTATCAGTGTAGACTGTTTATTTAAGGTGGAGAGCTCTGCACTGGGATTCAGTGGGACGTTTGGTGTCCACGGCTCCAAAAAATCAACATCCAAAAAATCAATATCAGGTTTGCTGTCTACTGTAAACGTGGCATTACCAAAGATTCTATTTCTCCTAAATCAAATTACCGAGATATTTATAAATAGAATATTAAAATGAATAAAGTAATTCATTTTCACCTTTACCTACAAAATAACATGACTGGAGTGGGCCGGGCCTGCACAGAGGACCCCCCGAACATTTAGAAATGGCTGTGGCAATTCGACACAGTTTGAGACAAGTGTGCATTTTATTAGTCATGGACCACGCTAATCGGTGGGCTATAAGCTTCCATTACTTGTGAGCTACATTAGCCTTGTAGCTCCAGTGCTGAAATTAGAGAAGCAAACTTCAGATACCAAACATGTCCTGGCTGCCTTATTTGGGGTAAGGGGGAAACTTTTGCTGAACTATCTGAGTGCAGCCTTGATTTAAGATTTCTCCTGCTGAAGTCTCTTCATCGTACATCAGTACTTACATTATCACCTGTCCCTCTAAGAGAACTGACCTGTGCCAAGCATCCGAGTGTTGTCATAAACAGAGTGTTTGGGTTCCTCCGTGCAGCTGTGGAAACGGTCCAGCTGAATGGACGTCACCTTCCCAGTGGGCTTCAGGTCAAAAACCTCGAAGTGTCCTGGAGGAAAGGGGACGATCTCTACTGGTTCAGTCATGGAGTGGGTGATCTGACTGAGACCTGGAGGCACAGAGACAGTGGACACATTTGCAAACACTATGGATTTGGGTGAGTTCACATAAACCGTTTGGCTAACTGGCAACATGTTCTGTTTGTGTTAGCAGTTACACTCTGGATGATAGAAGTGTGGGAAGAATTTGGGGGCGGGGTTTAGAGAGTCTTGATATTCACTACCAAATTTGAACAAGTTGTCTCTGAGATCATGTCTGGCCCCACGGGACTCACTACAAAACAGTTTGACCCCGTTTACACCTGGTCCCTTCAGGCGTCTTGAGTATCAGGATTATATCTGGATGAGGCCACAGAAACATGCAGTGTAAACGCAGCCGAGACGCATTTAAACAGATACAGATCTGATCACACAGAGCACTTCAGGAGGTGGACTGAGACGCGTTTAAGCCACATTATAGCAGAGTAAACACATCCGTCTCTCTAAGACACGCTCGACAACCAAAACTCCTCCCAGTGCAACCAAAACCCCTCCCATTACAACCAAAACTCCTCCCAGTACAGCCGAAACCCCTCCCATTACAACCAAAACACCTCCCAGTACAGCCGAAACCCCTCCCATTACAACCAAAACTCCTCCCAGTACAGCCGAAACCCCTCCCATTACAACCAAAACACCTCCCAGTACAGCCGAAACCCCTCCCATTACAACCAAAACTCCTCCAAGTACAGCCGAAACCCCTCCCATTACAACCAAAACTCCTCCCAGTGCAACCGAAACCCCTCCCATTACAACCAAAACTCCTCCCAGTACAGCTGAAACCCCTCCCATTACAACCAAAACTCCTCCCAGTACAGCCGAAACCCCTCCCATTACAACCAAAACTCCTCCAAGTACAGCCGAAACCCCTCCCATTACAACCAAAACTCCTCCCAGTGCAACCGAAACCCCTCCCATTAGAACCAAAATTCCTCCCAGTACAGCCGAAACCCCTCCCAGTACAACCTAAGCTCCTTCCAGTACAATAAAAACTCTTCCCAGTACAACCAAAACTCCTCCCAGTACAACCGAATCTCCTCTCAGTACAACCAAAACCCCTCCCACCACAACCAAAACACCTCCTAGTACAACCGGAACTCCTCCCAGTACAACCAAAACTCCTACCAGTATAATCAAAACCCTTCCCAGTATAATTGAAACTTCTCCCAGTACAACCAAAACCCTTCCCAATATAACCAAAACTCCTTCTAGTACAAACCAAAACTCTCCCAGTACAATTGAAACTCCTCCAAGTACAAACGCAACCCCTCCCACTACAACCCGAAACTCCTCCAAGTACAAAGAAACCCTTCCCAGTACAACCAAAACTCCTCCTAGTACAACCGGAACTCCTCCCAGTACATCCCAAACTTCTCCCAGTAAAAAACAAAACTCTCCCAGTATAACTGAAACTCCTCCAAGTACAACCACAACCCCTCCCAGTACAACCCAAACTCTTACCAGTACAACCCAAACTCCTCCCAGTACAACCCAAACTCCTCCCAGTACAACCAAAACCCTGTGCAGAGTGTGATCTGTGTCTGTGGAAGATAATCATGGAGACTCTCATGGTTGAGGATGAAACAAAATGCTTAACAGCAACTTGAACAAACACAACTGTACAAAACACACTGCAGGCGAAGAGGCTGAAAGGATGGTCATTAGTTGCTGCGTAACGAGCTGATTTGCATATTCCGTCCCACAGCAATCAGATTTCAGTCCAACTAACTGGAGATGCATTTTACTACCAAGTGTAAATGCATGTAACTAAAATCTCATCAGGAGACAATCCAGATACTGGACACAGGTGACAAGGTGTAAACGAGGTTGTTGGGAGTCGGGTTTTGACCATAGTACCTTTGGCCTCTGAGCAGACGGCCAGGAAACCATCATCGGTCAGCAGTTTGAACATCGGCCTCACGCCGTACGTATCCCTCCCCAGGAAAACCTTCCTATTGGCCGTGTCCAACAGGATAAAGGCGAACACTCCGTCCAGCAGAGAGGCCGTCTTCTCCACACCAAAGCGGTCATACAGGTGAAGCAAGATCTCTCCATCCATCCTGGTCTGATACTCAAACTCAAAGTGGTCTTTTAGCTTTAGGTGAAGGACACAGTAATCTTACAATGAAAAACCACATCCAGTAAGAAAGGAAAGAACCAGAAGGAACATTACAGCAAATTTCAACTCTACTACATCTGCATCATGTGGTCAGTTAGTGTGGACAGTTATCTCCCCGTACTTAGAAAAGAGCAGACCAACAGCTTCCCACTTACAGCTGAAGCTAGTGGACAGTTTCTGAAGGTGCACTTTGTAGTTCTACAGTTACAGACTGTAGTCCATCTGTTTCTCTGATACTTTGTTACCCTGTTCTTCAGTGGTCAGGACCCCCATGGACCCTCACAGAGCAGGTACTATTTGGGTGGTGGGTCATTCTCAGCACTGCAGTGACACTGACGTGGTGGTGGTGTGTTAGTGTGTGTTGTGCTGGTGTGAGTGGATCAGACACAGCAGTGCTGCTGGAGTTTTAAACAACTCAGTGTCACTGCTGGACTGAGAATAGTCCACCAACCAAAAATATCCAGCCAACAGTGTCCAGTGGGCAGCGTCCTGTGACCACTGATGAAGGACTAGAGGATGACCAACACTAACTGTGCAGCAGCAGATGAGCTATCGTCTCTGCTGTTTATGTTGGTATTGCATCATATTATACTGGCGCTCTAGCATTTGCTGATATTGCATCATTGTATACTGCCCCCGTACGTCTTATATTGGTATTGCACGGTGTTATACCGCACTCTACCATTTTTGTTGCTAACGCATGTACATATACTGCCCCCTTCTGTTTATGTTGGTATTCTTATTGTGCTATACTGCCCCCGACCATTTATGTCGGTATTGTGCTATAGTGCCCCCTATCGTTTATGTCGGTATTGTATTGTGCTATTCTACCCTCTATCTTTATGTTGGCATTGCATCATGGTATATTGCTCCCTACTGTTTGCTGGTCTTGCATTGTGTTATAGTGCAGCCTACTGTTTATGTTGGTATTTTGTTATACTGCCCCCATATGGCTCATGTTGATATTGCATCAGGGCAGATGCATAGTGTTGAAATAGTGTTGAGATGCGGTGTGGTAATGAGCAGTACGTACGCGGCGGTGGTTATAGATCTCGCCGTTGTAGCAGAGCCAGAGGTAGGGGAACTTCTTAACCCGCAGGGGTTGCATACCATACAGCTGGTCCACAATGGCCAAACGGTGGAACCCAAAGCAGCAGTTGGTGAAACCATTGATGTTCTCGAAGCGGAAAGCATCAGGACCCCGATGAGCGATCTTCATCGCACAGGTGCACTGAACTGACAGGCACTCATCGCTCCCAAACAAGGCCCAGATACCACACATTCTGATTCTGGAGACGAAAGTCAGTTATTGATCTCTGTACACGAGCTCACTGTGTCTGAAGTAAAGCAGCTTTGATGATTCAGGCAGTAAAGACATCACCTTCAACATGTACAGCCAACCAGTGACTGTGCAAATAAACTGCTTTTCTATAGAAATGAGTAAAATGGGGGAAAATGGGCTAAAATCAATCATTACAAGTAAATTATCAAACAAACAGGAAATAAATCAGCCATGAGTTTAAAACCACTCCCTGACTGGATCAATATGAGCTGATGAGCCCCAAAATCATGAGTTCTGAGATCTGCTCTACACCAGCTTCATTTTCTGACCGACTGGTGTGAGACAGGATGGACATGCAGGCCTTTATCTCCTAGTCTGTCTGCATGTGAAACAAATCTAACAGCATAACACGAACGAACGTCAGCTTTACCCTCAGACGCAGACGGAGGAGGAGGACGTGCTGCTGCGACGAGCCGACAGACTGCAGGGCTGATGAAACACTACAGCAGAGCACAGCACTGAGATCACTGCAACACTAGGGAGAATCACACCCTGCCAAAACAAAAGTCCCGGCTCAAAATTGCTGTCCTCACCTTTCCAAACAAACAAACAAACAAACAAAACCCCCAAAAAGACTCAAATCATATCGAATTGCAGTTTAAAGGGTCTGTTTCACAAAAACACAGCAAATAAAATTAAATTAAAGTAAAATAAAAATAAATAAAACAATGTAATAATGTTATTTATGACAAAAAAAATCATTTGTAATTTTTAAATAGAAATAAATTTAAAATAAAATATTTTATATGTTCTGAGGGCAGCTGCCTGACCTGTCACTGTCTTCAAACGTTCCAATCGCAACATTTCAACCATGAAGGAACCTCGCATTCGAGATTCGACCCAGGAAAAAAAACAACTAAATTAAATTAAATGAACTAAATTGAATAAAATAATTAACTAAATTAAATAATTAATAATTTAATGAAATAAAAATACATAAAATACATCAAATTATTTATTTTAATTTAATAATTTAATATATGATCAAAAATATTTTTAATTTAAAATTATAAATAAAATCAAACAAAATAGTTTATATATTTCCATTCTGAAGGCAGCTGCCTGACTCGTCACTGTGTTCAAATGTTCCACTCTTGTTGGGCAGCATTTTAACCATGAAGTAACCTTAGCAGGCATCGCATCTGGGACAAAATCACACAATCAGCTATGGTGGCTGATATTAATTTCATAAAGTATTTTATGCATTTTCATCTGATTTATGAGCACCAAGTGTGAAACTTAGCTCTCAACATTCACCTGCAGTGATATGACTGTGATAAGCACAGCAATACAAGACAAGCAGAGCAGGAGCGACTGAGCATTCAGAATGTTTACTAGAAAAACATGATTTCATAACCTTTACATCATAATAATCTACATAATAATAATCATCCTGTAAGTTAGACTCTCCTCATAGCTTCATAGTTTCTGGACGTCAGTGTTTTTCCCCAAACACGCTGGAAAAGTGAGCTGCCTCCAGCTGGTCTGTACTACACTTTCACCCCTCTTCCTCAGCTTCTCTTCTTCAGCTCCTCTTCCTCAGCCACTGTTCCTCAGTTCCTCTTCCTCAGCCCCTGTTCCTCAGTTCCTCTTCCTCAGCCCCTCTTCCTCAGCCCCTGTCCCTCAACCCCTCTTCCTCAGTCCCTGATCCTCAGCTCATCTTCCTCAGTCTCTCTTCCTCAGCCCCTCTTCCTCAGCTCCTCTGAGGCCTCAATAATTGCCTCTCCATTTTTTTAAAAGAAAAAAGACAGACCAGTCTAAGTCAAGCTTTATTTAGAACACTTAAATTTTGCACAACGTTTAGTTGTAATTAGTCATAATGTAGGAATGTCATGAAAGCCAGGTGTTGTAGCTCCACTGATACACAACATCACAGAAAAAGCATGACAGTGTTTTTCCTGGGATCTGAAACCGTCTGCTCTGAGGAAGAACGCCGTGTTGTCTGATTACTGACTCTGAGCTCTGAGGACGTCCTAAAGTGTACACCGTACTCCACCCAGGATCCAGGACTACTCACAGCAGCTCTTTATACACAAGGACATTTAAATCCTCTGCATGTAAAACACAACTTACTTTGTTTTGCAGTTTAGATTTATAGTAAATTCCTCAGTAAATACTGAAACTTAGTCTTCCTCTCAGTATGATCGATAGAGCTTATTAGCTTTTGCCGCGCTGATTAAGGGTAGGATGATTAGCATCTGTTAGCGATAAGGTAGTTTAGTTATACACAGGGATGTTTAGTATGTTTTTATTTTACTACATATACATACGTTACGTGTATTCCTGCATTCACTGCAGTTCTTTGTTGCATAATCTCTCCAAATTCTATTTAAAAATTACAAAATAAACTGAATTATTTCTCTGTTCCAAACAGCACCTGCTTTGTCAGATACTCAGAGTAAACTATGTGAATACTAAGATGACTTAGATGATGTACTACAATAATTATTGCAGAGACTTTTTATTGAAACAAAAAGAGCAGACTAGCGCAGAATCTGACTGACAAGACCTCACACATTTTGGAATAACACGATTAGCATGTAACTGAAATAACTGCATATATTCAAGCCTGTTGCTCTGTTACCCTGTTTACCACATTAAGTCAAACATCTTTTCAGAAGATTGCAAGCATAATTATATTGGTAAGTTCCAGGGAGCTCATCTGGGATAAACATTGGCTTAGATAATGGTTTCATATTGTTTTGATGAAGTAGATGTTAGTGCAGGTGTGTTGGTGCCTGTTTTCACTCTTCTGTTAAGTTGAGTTCCAGGTTGAGCTGAAAACAGAGGAGAGAGAGGTCTGAAGAACGAAGGAGTGTAAATAAAAGCATGAATGAATGCCATTATGATCCTGAATCAGTTTCACAGCAACACTGAAAACTCACCGTCATCGGGGGAGCAGATGACTCTCCATAAACGCTGTGCTCCATTAACTGAAACACATCAAAAAGTAAACAAAAAATATTTTTTTTTCGTTGTTGACACAGATCCTACATCACTGCCCACTAAGCTAAAAACTGACCCCTCACATTTCTTGAGTTAAGGATCCTTTGATTTTAATCACTGATTTAAGTAGACAAAAGCTGTCCACCATCTCCATAACACCAGTTAGTGGTGGTAACCTCAGTCTTCCTCATATTGAGCTGGAGTCCCATCTTTCCAATGGAGTCCAATATTCCTGATTTTCCGCTGTGAGTCTTGTGCCATCCACAGGTGGAAGGTTATTGATGTTTCTTCCTCCAATCTTGAATCTTCCTCCAGTCCTGAACCTCTTATTATATGTTCAGCACACAGGTTGACCATGTAGGAGGTAAAACTTCATGAACTTTACTAAAAGTCAACTATATGTTTTGAAATTATACTTTAGTTACAATATCTGGAGGACATTCATCAGCCATGAATCTACTCTTTCATCCAGGCAACCTTCCCCAAACCTAATCTACTCTTTTATCAAGGCAACCTTCCCCAAACCTAATCTACTCCTTCATCCAGGCAACCTTCCCCAAACCTAATCTACTCTTTTATCCAGGCAACCTTCCCCAAACCTAATCTACTCCTTCATCCAGGCAACCGTCCCCAAACCTAATCTACTCCTTCATCCAGGCAACCTTCCCCAAACCTAATCTACTCCTCCATCCAGGCAACCGTCCCCAAACCTAATCTACTCCTCCATCCAGACAACCTTCCCCAAACCTAATCTACTCCTTCATCCAGGCAACCGTCCCCAAACCTAATCTACTCCTTCATCCAGGCAACCTTCCCCAAATCTAATCTACTCTTTCATCCAGGCAACCTTCCCCAAATCTAATCTACTCTTTCATCCAGGCAACCTTCCCCATACCTAATCTACTCCTTCATCCAGGCAACCTTCCCCAAATCTAATCTACTCTTTCATCCAGGCAACCTTCCCCATACCTAATCTACTCTTTCATCCAGGCAACCTTCCCCATACCTAATCTACTTCTTCATCCAGGCAACCTTCCCCAAATCTAATCTACTCTTTCATCCAGGCAACCTTCCCCATACCTAATCTACTCTTTCATCCAGGCAACCTTCCCCATACCTAATCTACTTCTTCATCCAGGCAACCTTCCCCAAATCTAATCTACTCTTTCATCCAGGCAACCTTCCCCAAATCTAATCTACTCCTTCATCCAGGCAACCTTCCCCATACCTAATCTACTCTTTCATCCAGGCAACCTTCCCCAAACCTAATCTACTCCTTCATCCAGGCAACCTTCCCCAAATCTAATCTACTCTTTCATCCAGGCAACCTTCCCCATACCTAATCTACTCTTTCATCCAGGTAACCTTCCCCAAACCTAATCTACTCCTTCATCCAGGCAACCTTTCCCAAACCTAATCTACTCCTTCATCCAGGCAACCTTCCCCAAACCTAATCTACTCCTTCATCCAGGCAACCTTCCCCAAATCTAATCTACTCTTTCATCCAGGCAACCTTCCCCATACCTAATCTACTCTTTCATCCAGGTAACCTTCCCCAAACCTAATCTACTCCTTCATCCAGGCAACCTTTCCCAAACCTAATCTACTCTTTCATCCAGGCAACCTTCCCCAAACCTAATCTTCTTCTCCATCCAGGTAACCTTCCCCAGACCTAATCTACTCCTTCATCCAGGTAACCGGCCCCAAACCTGATCTACTCCTTCATCCAGGTAACCTTCCCCAAACCTGATCTATTCCTCCATCCAAGCAACCGTCCCCAAACCTAATCTACTCCTCCATCCAGGCAACCGTCCCCAAACCTAATCTACTCCTTCATCCAGGCAACCTTCCCCAAATCTAATCTACTCCTTCATCCAGGCAACCTTCCCCAAACCTAATCTACTCCTCCATCCAGACAACCTTCCCCAAACCTAATCTACTCCTCCATCCGGGCAACCTTCCCCAAACCTAATCTACTCTTTCATCCAGGCAACCTCCCCCATACCTAATCTACTCCTTCATCCAGGCAACCTTCCCCAAACCTAATCTACTCCTTCATCAGGGCAACCTTCCCCAAACCTAATCTACTCTTTCATCCAGGCAACCTTCCCCAAACCTAATCTACTCCTTCATCCAGGCAACCTTCCCCAAACCTAATCTACTCCTCCATCCAGGTAACCTTCCCCAAACCTAATCTACTCCTTCATCCAGGCAACCTTCCCCAAACCTAATCTACTCCTCCATCCAGGTAACCTTCCCCAAACCTGATCTATTCCTCCATCCAGGCAACCTTCCCCAAACCTAATCTACTCCTCTATCCAGGCAACCATCCCCAAACCTAATCTACTCCTTCATCCAGGCAACCTTCCCCAAACCTAATCTACTCTTTCATCCAGGCAACCTTCCCCAAACCTAATCTACTCCTTCATCCAGGCAACCTTCCCCAAACCTAATCTACTCCTCCATCCAGGTAACCTTCCCCAAACCTAATCTACTCCTTCATCCAGGTAACCTTCCCCAAACCTGATCTATTCCTCCATCCAGGCAACCTTCCCCAAACCTAATCTACTCCTCTATCCAGGCAACCATCCCCAAACCTAATCTTCTTCTCCATCCAGACAACCTTCCCCAAACCTAATCTACTCCTTCATCCAGGTAACCTTCCCCAAACCTAATCTACTCCTCCATCCAGACAACCTTCCCCAAACCTAATCTACTCCTTCATCCAGGCAACCTTCCCCAAACCTAATCTACTCCTTCATCCAGGTAACCTTCCCCAAACCTAATCTACTCCTCCATCCAGGTAACCTTCCCCAAACCTAATCTACTCCTCCATCCAGGCAACCTTTCCCAAACCTAATCTACTCTTTCATCCAGGTAACCTTCCCCAAACCTAATCTACTCCTCCATCCAGACAACCTTCCCCAAACCTGATCTATTCCTCCATCCAGACAACCTTCCCCAAACCAAATCTACTCCTTCATCCAGGCAACCTTCCCCAAACCTAATCTACTCGTCCCTTTCTTTTTAAAAATATATGAAAACTGAATGTAATGTACCTTTAAGGTACACAGTTGGACCGCACTGCTGTTTAAGGACACACTTACATCATTTTGTACCTCTTGTGACAGAAATTTAGCTGTGCAGTACCTTTTTCCTGACATTGTAATGAAAGCTTAGTTCAGACACACCTTACGTCTCTCCTTATTATTAGATGTTGATTTCAGCACCCAGATCATTTTGGTCATTGCCGCTACAGGAGTGATGTCATATCCAGGGATCACTTTGGCATCTGACAGTATCTGAGACAAAGAGAGAAATGACAGTGATCACTGAACGTGGTGCAAATCTACCTGACATGGAAACTTCAGCAAACATCCTCAAAATGATTCTGGTTGCATGATGCAACAGCACAGTTTGTTTGGTTTCTTGTTTAAATTCTGGTCCTCATTCTCCAACATCCTCCTAAGTTTGTTCTGAAATGTATTCTTGAGAAAGGGCCATCAGATTCACGACGTGTTCTTAAAGCAGAGAACTGTTCATACCTCTGTGCTCATGAATGGGTGACCGTGCCACATTTGACATTTTCATATCAAACTAATGAGTGTAAATATTGTTCGGATGATCTTTTTACCTGTAATTTTCATATGTGATGTTATTGTTTCTGCCACTTGCTAATTTTTGCTGTATATCATTGCTGTTCAGCCATTTTAGAGGGGTCTCCAAATCTGTAACTTTACAGGAGAGGTCGAAACCATCTTAACTTTTAATGAACATTAATGAAAGAGATTTTGTCATTTCTGACCATTTTTCTATTCATCATGAATATTCGCGATGATGTAAAGGACAGCTGAGCTCAAATGGTACAGAAAACCAAAACTCAGAAAAATGGAGAAACACATCTGTTACAACAGTTAACTGCAGTGGTGCTGGATATAATCTGTCGTGATAGCACATGACAGCATCTGACATCTGCAATGAAGTGTTTATGATATGGTTATGTCAGTGTAAAAGGCTTCAAGATGTTTTCTTACAATTATAATTAAATAAAGACCCACAGTGCTTTTCTGTTTTACAGTCGTTTAAACATTTAGTGATATATTTTGATGTTTAATTCTGCTGTCTGTGAATAAATCACTGCACAGTCATAAGAATGTTATCTTATCACTCATATAGTTTTATATAGCGGCCCTTTTTCATTCTTGAAAACACTGTTTATACACAGTTATGTAAAGCCATGCTGATTATACTACTACTACTACTACTAATAATAATAATAATAATAATATATTTTAAATTATTTACATTAAAAATAAAAATGATAGAAATTTATTTTTGATGTTTATTAGCTAAATAGCACTTTTTAAAAATAAGTGTACTAAGCAGGAATATTAGATAGATGGATAGATAGACAGATTTTCATTGAATCCAAGGGAAATTGCAGTGTTACTGTAGAGCTGCTGTAACAGGCAGCCACCCTCGAGCAGTGGTAAAAATCTAAAACAAACAAAAAAAAAATGATAAACAGTCAAATAATGATACAGGAATGATTATTTGAAATGACAAAGACAAAAAAGGAAAAAAAAATCATTGATGAATGAAAGATAAAGAACAATAATAAAAGGCAAACTAATTGATAAAGATGATAAAAACATTAATAAATAAAATTACAGAAAAACACAATGAAGCTTAAAATGCAAAGGATAAAGGAAAGTAAGTGATTAACTGAAGAACTTGACAGAATTAATATGTACACTGTGCAAAATGTAAATGAAAACAAAATTCAATGACGTGCAAATAATTTTAATCCTATTTATTTCAAAATAGTACAAAGACAAAATATGAAATGCTAAAACTGAGAAATTTTTTTGTTTTTTTTTAATAATATATGCCCATTTTGAATTTGATGGCAGCAACATGTTCAAAAAAAGTTGGCATGTTTATGGAAGATGTTTTTAAGGAAGAAAAAATGAATAAAAGAAATAAAAGTGTAAAAGTGAAATAAAAAACAGATAAGATGATGAGTACTTAAAACACAGACATTAACATGTATAATTACCACAGCCCCTCACTATTCAAATGTGAGTTGGTATAAATATGTTTTTAGTCTTCATTTAAAAACAGCGTTTGAAGGTGCTTGGCGAATAGTGGGACGTAGAATTTTCCATAGTCCCGGAGCACAAACTGCAAATGCATGATCGCCCTTAAACTTCAAACGAGCCCATATAGCAACAGCCAGCAGGTTCTCTGAGGATGATCTCAAAGCTCACTGTGTGGTAGAGGGAGTAAGCATACTGGCCCCAGAAATCCACCATAGAGGTACGAATGTTGAGTAGCAATTGCCGTTCATATACAAGTAATGATGGAGCAGTATAAGCACTACCACACCACAGTAATAAACACAACACCGCTAAACAGAGAACACATAGGGAGAGACGGCAAGCCGACAAATACACTGGCGCCATCTTGGAATGCGCAAGTCCCAAATCTCTCCCAAAGCAGACCATTTCATATATATATATATATATATATATATGAAATGGAATTTGAAATGGAATTAATCTTTCATGGAGCATAAAAATTCCCAAATCCCACATTAAAAATAAGTTACAAGCTTTTTGGGCCACTGTCTTCTTGGTGCCCTTGGGATTGCCCTAATCTTGACCCCCTAACCCCCCACCCCACCCCACCCTTACAGCACGCCTGTGTCCATCCCTGGTCCAGTGTTACTGATTCCCACTGCAACACAAACACTGGTAGTTATGATTTGGTGATGTGACAATTTTATATGCATATTATTTTCTATGAGTTAGTTAAGATATTTAAATGTGGCAAGAGAGGTCACTGGGAGGCTAAAAGAAGTCTATTTTCTCTGCTGTAATGGAAATGCGTCCTAAAACCACCATGTAAGGATATAGTGAGCGGTACCTCAGACGCAGCATAGATGGGTACCACAGTACCCCGATAAACCTGAGTACAGTTCAATATTAGAACATTTCTTTCATTTGCATCCATCAGAAGTTTCCTAAGCCAGTTGACTTCTGGAACATTCCCAGCACCAAAGGTCTCCAGGACAACACCCTCAGCTCCATTCAGAATCCCATGCACCTGGACGGCAGACAGGAAGCATTATATGACCTTTATACACAGCTGGAAACAAGTCATAAACCTGCAAGTAACAAGAAGGTCTCAAGTCTTGACAGTCAAGTCTAGATTCAAGTCTTGAGTCAAGACAATCAAGTCTTGATTCAAGTCCAGAGCCAAGGCAGTCAAATCTGGATTCAAGTCCAGAGAGAGCAAAATGGTGAATAGCTTAAGTAAAAAAGCCAAATAAATTAATAAAAAAAAATAGAGAGATAAACTCACATAGCTTTCAGTGATTCCTGGGAAAAATCGCAGTATCCTCACATTCGATGCTTCTTTCATTTTGAACTCTACTTTCAGGCTAAGAGGGTCTTTAGGCTTCTCCTTCTTCTCTTCAATCGCTGAAACTGAAGATATTAAGATATTTTTCAGCTCTGAAATGTCAACAATGATGCATTTAGATCAGTGCTGCCCATCCTGGCAAGCAATGGAAACCAAGGGTGAGTTCTGCGAATTAAAAATAAATTCTAATAAATTCTTCTCTAAGCCTTGAGATAAAGTTGTATGCGAGCTATGTAAGCTAGAGTTAGCCTAGCATTCCTCCAGCATTAGCAGCCTGAAGGCACATTTTAAAAATATGCACCTAAATGCATCCGGTTCAGTTCCTCCTCAAATTCACGTTCCCGTGCAAAAAAGTCAGCAGCACTAAAACAAAAGTGAAATGGGTGAAAAGTCTTATACCCCTATATAGTAATCCAGAATCTGCAGAGTCGCTCTTTCTATTCCATCTTATAACCAGATCGTATGAGACTCACATCCGGAGTTTTGAGCCTATGAAGAGGAGCTGAGATACATGTCATCTGCCTCTCACCGTGTGGAACTGGTGGATTGGTGTGTCCGTCTACATTCTGTGTGAAACTGACCAATGGACACTCAGGAAATCACTAAGGACTGACCATCACGCCGGAAACCCTTCATTCTTCATTCAGTCCACATGGGAGACTCATGTGAAACGGCGTGCAGAGAGTTTACAGCTGCTGAAGCTGCTGCAGCGGTTTTGGAAAGTAGTGATGAAGATAACGGAGCATTTAGATATGAAACATATGAGGATTGGATTATATAAATAGAATTTAAAGGAAAGTTTCAGGAGATGTGCACAAACTGAGAAACTGCCCTCAGACACAAGATGGCTAAAGGGGGATTTATTAGAAGGAGGTTCAGCAAAGCAATTGGACACTTACATTTAATTGTGGTTTCCAGGCTAACTAAAGGACACACCTCAGGGCTCTCAAACACATTGAAGGAATCACAGTCCACCTTCACCACACGGTTGCCCTGGAACAACTTGTTGTGATAACAAAGCATCACCTGTAAATGTAAAAAACGTAGATCAAAACAAGGTTTACCACAGCTGAATATGCCGATTGTACTACGACTGTACTTTGGATACTACCTGGCGCATATGAAGAGTCTGCACACCATTTTTTAATTTTCATATTTTGTTGATTTAAAGATTGAAGTTAGATAGAAAAATCATGCCAAACTTTTTTCAGCTTTTACAGTATCCTGTAAAGTACAAAATTTTAAAGTTTATTTTTAAAAAAATGACTTGTCTTTTCATGTTGCCCTATTTTCTCTTGATGCTGGCTGCCATGCTCTCTGGGTTTGACCCTTGCTTGCTGTGATAACGTCTATTATATCTGCCCTGAATTCTCAAGTAAACACTGAGTTTTATTTTAATCTGCAAGCGTCTACTTTGTTTTAATTTTGTAACAATAGTCTCAAAGGGCAGAACTAGTGGTATAAAAATAGCTTTATTCCTGCTTCTATTACTCAGATGAACAGATCATTGTAACACTGCACAGAGGACTGGAACCTTTTAATGTTTGTCACTTGCCATTGTCTTTGTTATCTGTAAAAAAGGATGGATGCTGGTGCAAATATAATAACCTGAACCATTGTTATGCACTTTTGTGGTTACTGATGTGTAATATGATGTAGTCTTTGTCTAACAAGGGACAGACATGTATACTTTAAGTTTTTCTATGAAATCCAAGAGAATTATAAGTCGTTAAAATACATGCACATTTCCACGGTAATTAAAGGATCAGTGTAAAAGAAAAATTACGTCATTCTTCAGCGAACCTTATGCAGTATTGACCTCTCAGAGAAATATCCAGCCATGAGCATTGAGTTAACCAAGTTGCCCAGACCATCACTGCGAGGATGAAATATGGGGATCTACGACAAAGATAGATAGAGGAAGAATTAGAAGGAGAGAGAGGGATAGATTATAATTGTTCGTTAAGGTGGTGTTCAAGGCTAAATGTCTGTAAATGTCAATTGAAAAGTTGTTTGGTGTGAGGCCGGCATAAAAGTTTTAACACAAACACACTCTGACTCGAGAGATTCCAAAACGAAAACCACAGATTCCTCTCTCCTTTTTTTAAATTAATAGTTCCCTGAAAATAAACTGTAAGAAAGCAGAGAGGATTTATTTATTTATTTAAAATACTTACGCCAGAAGAGCCTCGAGAGAGGCTACACTCAAGACTCGAGAAGGGAAACACGAAGGTTACCAGCTTAGCCACAGCGATGTGCACATGGTCATATGAACTCAAGACTGAGCAGCGTGTAAGCTTCCCTTAAGTAAGGCGCCCACAGCTGTCACTGCTCAGCCCTCATTACCCCATCCTTGCTCTCTGGCCCCTGCTAGTGGCCAGAGGTGGCCTAGCAGACTGCCTGGATATTACAAAACCCTCAATATCAGTCTTGCTTTCCCTTTAGAAGATGTAACACCTGAACTAATTAGGAGGGTTGTCTGTGTACTTTTGTCCATATAGTGTATTTCAGCAAAAAATGGTTAAAACTCACTATATTAGAAAAAAATTAAATACACCAAGACCTACACTGTTGCATTAATTAAAGTCCCCTCTATCCCTTTGTCACTGCTCATAAAAAGACTACAGAGAAATAATGTATAAAACTGAAACTGTAAATTCAGCTTGAGCTCATACAGTAACACAGAGAACAGATCCAAATGAAATGTGCTCAGTTTGTTTCATCAACTCTCCACTGTTATTACATTCTTACAAATGTTCTTAGTTTAAAACACTTGTATGAACTCTACATTGTCTGCACAGTTTATAAAACAGTTTACATGCTTATTATTCGTATAACCTAATTCATACAAAATACAGTCATGGTAATTATGTGCTTATTGTTGATTTGTAGGAACCTGAATGTGAAGAAAAATCTGACCTGAGCTCCAGTCACTATCACAGGCTTATTGATGTGTCCCAAAATGAAGGACAGGGCAGAGGAGGTGAAGGCCATCGTGTCTGTTCCATGGATAATAACAAACCCATCATACACTTCTGTATTGTCCTATAAAAAAAAGAGTTAGATGGAAAATGGAAAGAGAGAATAACAAACAGACTGAGAGAGGAAGAGAGAGAAAGAGGAAACAGAAGGTTCAATACTGTTACCTCAGATTACATAATATACTGTCTTAAAAATACAGCTGTCAAAAAGGGTTTTATAGAGTGATGCCATACAGACAACATGTTTTATTTCCCTATAGAACTTTTCAATGGCTGGTTCTTTAAATAGTCGTGTTTGTAGTTGACATGAGTTCAAAGAACTTCCACATAATGGAAAGGCTCTTTTATCTAGATCTGTAAGTCAAAGCCAAGAAACATTTAGGATTTTTTATTTTTCCAATCGGAGTACATCAATAAACAGACTAATCCAAGATTTTTTTTTTATAAAATGTTTGTTTTAAACATTGCTGTATTTTACCAATATGATTTTAGCCATTTTGCTCCAGTCTTCCGGGGTGGCACTGGAGGAGTCTATGGGCTTTTGCAGACCATCAAACTTGTAGAGAATCTTGCAGTGTTTTCCTTTGACATTGGGGTCATCCTTACACAACTGGGTACTGAGAAGACAATGAACAAGTTAAAGCTATTACAACACTTCCATCACAGAGTAAGTAAATGAACATGGGATTTGCTGTGATACTATACACTATTAAAACAATTCAACCACTCAAAGTCATTTTCTAGCCTAATTTGCTCGAGTTTCAAAGGCAAGAGATGTAAAAATGTCATATTTTGGTATCGACAGCTGCCTCTCCTAGAACTACACTAGCAACTGATTTTCAGCCAAAGAAAACTACATTTGAGTTTCAATATTTATAATATAAAGTTAACTAACAAAAGAATACACCATGTAATATTTAAATACATTTAAATACATTAAATTTACTCTGTTAAGTAGTGCTTCCTTCGTTACTAGAGATGTAATAATACTGAATTGTACTTAGTGTATACTTATTGTATCATTGTATCATGATTAGCTTGTTAGCTTGTGGCTAATGCATTAGCCCTGTAATAAGTTTTTGTTTAGTGTTTCTGTGCTCATAAGAAATGAGCCCGAATGGATCAGGCTAAAATCCACAGTATGTTATAAAGCCTCTGATATTGTACTTTACACTGAATGCTCTAATAAACTGAAAAAGGATATAAAAGGATAGCAAATAATATATATTTTTCAGTCTCCTAATTTTTGCTATATTGAAAAATGTACTGAATCTAACACCCATCATATCATATCGCACCAAATTATAAATTGCAAAAATCATTACATCCCAATTAGTCTTGGAATGCTTTGTAAAGTATCACATTGTTTAAGGTAAATAAAGGAATTTTAATGTATGGTGAACTTATGTTAAGTTGATTCTTGTCTATCAGTTTGCTCTGTATTAGTCTTATGACACAGGAGAGCATGAGGTGCATATATTGTTGGAAAGTGGTTAATTGTCTCCTATATGCTTCTTAGGTCACCTTACAATGTTCTGTACTCTTTATCACGGACACATAACCTTAATACTTGGGAAGGGGGCGTTACTTGGGCCAGTTGAGGGTGATAATCTCTATAATCGTTGTTTGCTTCCATTCTCTGTGGGAAGAGTGAACAAAACGGGGACCTGTTAACATCTCTGTGAAGACGTCTTGAAATAAACCCAACCATCTCCTCCAACGTGCACAACTTTGTATAGTTTATTCTCAATAACTTGGACAATGACACCACACATCAGCAGTATGTATGCTTAAAGTTTTCTATGAAGGTTTTTTCAATAAGCATAGTCACTTTCCGTAACCAGGGTCAGGGTACTGGGCAATATATAATCCAAAACCAGGCAAAATATGTAGGACATAAACCAGAAACTACAAAATACAAGAAACTGTAGATGTCAGAAAGCAGGTAACAGAGGGAATGCTCAGAAATCTACAGACAGCAGACAAGCGAGACTTGGGGATTACAAATACAAAACAATATTAATAAAAGCATAACAAACAGGCTGAACTGAATACTACAGGGTTACAGACAAGGTCAGAGTGAAAAATAGAACTCTAGAGCACATTACGTGGAATATGTTTAAAAACATTCTTCTAGTTTCACTGGACAGCTAGAAGACTCAAGCCAGGCACAGAGCGGAGCCTGATCAGGGTCCAGATCAAGAACAAAATCTGCATAAGTAGATTCCGAGGCCTGTTGTACCTGTGCAGTGGGAATGCTGGGTCATGGCCTGATTTGGGCCCCAGTACTCATGTTCAGACAGGGAGTCTGGATCTGTATCACAATCATCACCAATCATCATTCGCTGATAGACAGAGAAGAAGCGAGAGAACAGAAAGATGGTGACAACACTGTGCAACCCCTTGCTACATCTGTAGCAGTGCAGCTAAGAGACAACGTTTGGACAGCTGGGACTCTTAAGTCCTGGACAGACAAAGGCAAGGTTTGGACCACAGATCCACAGGGATGCAGGGTTTGTATCACAGGTCCACAAGTAGGTCCACAGAGAAGCAAGGCTTGGAACACAGGTCCACAGGTCTCTAGGGAGACAAGGCCTGGACCACAGGCCCACATGGAGGCAAGGCTTGGACCACAAGTCTACAAGGAGGTCAACAGGGAGGCAAGGCTTAAACCACAGGTCCACACTAAGGGTCACAGGGAAGCAAGGCTTGGACCAAAGGTCCACAGGGAGGCAAGGCTTAGACCTTAGATATACAGGGAGGTCCATAGGGAGACAAGACTTGGACCAAAGGTCCACAGGGAGGCAAAGTTTGGACCACAGGTCCTCAGGGAGGTCCATACAGAATCAAGGATTGGACAACAGGGGAGAGGTTCATAGGTAGGCCAGGTTTGGACCACAAGTGTGAGGTTCAAAGTGATGCAAGGCTTGGCCTCAGGTGGGAGGTCCAAAGGAAGGCCATATTTGAACCACAGGTGGAATGTCCACAGGGAGGACCTTCCCAGGCTTGGATTGCAGATTTCTGGAGGATCTAGATCAGTCTCCTCTGATCCACCCAGTCAGCTGATTAATGAGCCCTTTCTGAATTAAAATAGGTGGGTTACAGCCAGAAACATTTCTGTTTGGTGGCTGGTTCTTGACACCTTCACAATCTGGTCTGGCTGTACTTCAGCAAAGTCTTACACAATTTACAGCAGAACTGGTTTTCGTTTGTGTAGTATTTCCACTCCACTAAAATACTCAGGGCCTTGTGTTTAGCACAAAAACTACTTTCTGGAGTTATTTTTGCCATTGTATTTTATTACCATAATCAGGCCCTGTCCTCGATTAGTTGATTGCACCCACAGTGGCCACTAGTGGATTTATGAGCCACCTAATTGAGTCCATGCAACACCTAATGTGGATGATACATTTCGTGCTACAGTTAGCACATATTTCACACAACATTACACAAAGTGTGTCAGAATATCACAGAAAGTGTGTTGTTAATTAAAACGTAATTTTTGAGATCATAAATAGAGCTTTGTGGAATAAATGCATTATTAACACCTAAATTATCAAAAATCAAATTGTGTCTTGACCAATGAATTGAAAATCATATGAATCCTGAAGATGTGTGTATCGTTACACCCTTAGAACAAGCATAGCTTCACGTCTACTTTAACGCACTACAGTGTCATGAAACCATCTGGGGTGATGATGCGGTTCCTGACATCGTCCTCTGATTCTCCCGGTTTCCTCTCATAAAGGATGGTGTGCTGAATGATGAAGTCCTGGATCACCTCTAGAGGCTGTGGAGCGAGTCTGCCTTTATAAGGAAATAATGAATATGTGTCACACTTATGTAAACATACACAGGCTCTGTTCATACCTGGTAATAAGATTCGTCTCAGGGTCTTGTGCAGGTAAAGTGGTCTATCTATCTATCTATCTATCTATTTATCTGTCTGTCTATCTGTCTATCTATCTGTCTCTCTGTCTATCTTTCTATCTATCTATCCGTCTGTCTGTCAGGTCAGCTTTTCAGAGATGTCCACTCTGGGTTGCGTTTACACTAAAAAATGGGGCCAGTTATGATGAAATGCTGGGGCTTTGTAGTGATGTTGAAATGATTAGCTTACCTTCATCATCAGGCTTCATGCCGAAAGTTCCTCCAGTGTAGAGAACAAAGACCTTTCGCTCGATGTCCATGGTCCAAAACCAGATCTATAGGTTTTTTTTTAATATAAAACTGATGGAGTCCAAATACAGCAGCAAAGTATAAAAATATAAATAAAAGAAAATAAAAAAAAAAACAGAAAGAACAAAAAAGAGATTTGTGAAAAAACAAAATAGGACTTCAATATTACTTATTGATGTCTAATTATCAACAGTATCTGAATGTTTCCTAATGTACTTTTCCTCATGGTAATCAATGGTTAGAGCTGAAATTGAGCTCGTGCTTCATTTCATAGATAGTGATAAACATTAATATCTAATGCTATTAATTAATGCCTCAGTGGACAGATGGACAGTTTAATGATGTCATCCCAAAACCATCTCTGCAGATCAGATCTGTAAATACCAATAAAGATCAAACAGAGCAGAAAGAATAGAGGCTGAAATTAACTCACCTTATTATTATTATTATTATTATTATTATTATTAGCTTCAGTTGTAGTCTCAGCGCACACTGCCTCACTGCTGAATCACCGCTGGAGATACTTTCTGTTTCTGTTTCTCTCCTCTTTCTCTCTCTCTCTCTCTCTCCTCTCCCCCCCCTCCTCTTTCTCTCCCTCCCTCCCTCCCTCTCTCTCTCTCCTCTTTATCTCTGTGTCCCTCTCCCTCTCTCTCCTTTCTCTCTCTCTCTCTCCTCTTTATCTATCTGTGTCTCTCTCTCTCTCCTCTTTATCTCTCTGTCTCCCTCTCTCGTCTTTACCTCTCTGTCTCTCTCGCGCTCCTCTTTCTCTCCCTCCCTCTCTCTCTTGGACCGGGGAATATGGTGGAAGGGGTCCTGCACTACACAGTCCACAATTGACGGGAATGGCGAGGAACCACACAGTCAGTCTAGTATTAAACTTGCTAGTTTAGTCTGTGAATGTGGTTTAATGGATGTATGGAGAGATGAGAATGAGGGACACATGGTTAAAGACAGGTGAATCCAGAGTGTGTGGAGCCAGTGTTACCGGCTTTTGCAAGCATGTGCAGCTCAACTGCACCCTCTAGACTCCAAAACCCTCTGCGTTGTGTTACCGCTGGAAAACAGGAAGACTGAGAACTTTTGTTTGGTGGACGGTTCTCAGTCCAGCAGCACTGCTGTGTCTGATCCACTCAGACCAGCACAACACACACTAACACACCACCACCACGTCAGTGTCACTGCAGTGCTTAGAATGATCCACCACCCAAATAGTGCCTGCTCTGTGAGGGTCCATGGGGGTCCTGAGCACTGAAGAACAGGGTAAAAGGGGGCTAACAAAGTATCAGAGAAACAGATGGACTACAGTCTGTAACTGTAGAACTACAAAGTGCACCTATATAGTAAGTGGAGCTGATAAAATGGACAATGAGCGTAGAAACAAGGAGGTAGTCAGAATGTTAGGCCTGATTGGTGTGTATCGCTGCTGTCGGAAGAAAACCTCGTATCTCCATTTTTGACGCTTTTCAGTTTTTGACATAATTTGAAAACATGTTGCCCTTTACATTTTGTATGTAACTTTCATGATGAATGGACTAAAAGAAATGACCTAAAATTACCTGGAGAAAATTCTGGGTCCACTGACTTACATTGAAAGTAAAGTAGGTTTTTCCCTGTAAAGTCACCACTTTGGAGGTTTTCTTCTGGCAACAGCGACATACTGACAAATAGTATAAGCAGTAAATATACTACAATATAAAGTACACATCTATGTTTTAAGATAAAATCTTATACAATTCAGGGTCCTGTTCTTATGTAAAGAAAGAAAGAAAAAACAAATAAAAACCCTAATATGGCAAATGTGTAGTTTTTATAAAACACTAAACTTCACAAAACAAAGTAAATGCTATAAATACACAGCACAACAGCAAGTATTGGCATTTGAAGATTTACTGTACCTGTATACAAAACGAGAGGCAAAAGCACAGCACTGAATTCTGTCTCTCAAAGGCTGTGAGAAAAAAAGACACCATTTTAGGCTGAATGGTATCTTCAGGCTACATTCATCAGTAAAAAGACTGCTGCACTGGATAAAACACTCTCATACACTCAGTACAGTCACTGAATCAGAGCTGTTCTACTCTCAGTAACATTAAACATCTCAGCTGAGCGTCTGAATGCATGAAAAGTGCTTTGAAAAACTCAACCTTTTTACAGAGAGCTCTAAACACACCTACCTATCCTCACAGCTTTTGCCATGAACTGAGCATAGGGAGCTGTCCAACACCAATAACATCGCCAATCGAGCCCCGATATTTCAAAATAAAAGTTCTCTAACGGTATCAATTCAATAAATTGTCTCTGAGGTAGAAAATAAATAAAGGATATTCACCAAAATAATGGACAAATTGGGGAAGGATTTTATGTGAAATTAAAAAAAAAATCTTCTTCCACATCCGTTACACTGGGTTGGATAGGTTTTATGTTAGTAAAGGTTTTAACAGCAGGGTGGTGAGAGCAGGGGCAATTCCTGTGGGGTTTTCCAATCATCATATGGTTACTGTGGAAATAAGTATAACGGCTACAACACATGCAAACTGCTACTGGCATTTTAATGCTAAATTATTACAAGACAGTGTTTTATGTGACAAATGTGTACTTTTTTGGTGTAAGTGGAAAGTTCAGAAGCACTCTTTTGAAAACTTGAGTCGGTGGTGGGATGTAGGAAAGGCACATTTCTGCCAAGGTTTTTCAGCACACGCTGCCAAATCAGTACACTCTGCTGTAAAGAAACTGCAGCAAGACACTGAGCACCTGGAGAAACAAAAAGTTAGAAACAATAGGATGGGGCTTCATAGGGAGCTAGCAGAGAAAAAATGAGAGTTGGGATCCTATGTACAACAACAGGTTAAAGGGGCTTTAATACAGGCAAGGCTTAGCTTGATTAAGGACGTTGATGCACCTAATGCCTACTTTTTACATCTTGTCTGAGTCTGCCCTCAAAGGCTTACCGTTAATGCTGACGATGCCATGCTCTGCCAAAAGAGGATGGAGTCTAAGACTTGTCCACCTGGCTAGCAGGACCGCTGCTTTCTGACTCCACTTCATCCAGAGACCTTTGACTGGCCCCAGGGAGCTGGTTTGGATGGCGGTGTTATGCAGGATATTATGCACAGTAGGTGGCCTGGGGTTGGACAGAGCTTTGTTTTTTCAATGGACACTAAAGTAGTGGACGTTGCTGGGTTGCCTGTTTCTTATCGATGACTTTATAAAGTCTGGATGCAAATAAACAGGCTGGCTCCACACTGGCCATTGGAATAACCTCTGATCTATGGAACACATCTGGACTTGGCGGGTACGATCACCCCTGCACTTACCAGAGCTTTGTTGTCCTCAGAAGTCATAACCGAGGTGGATGTCGCAGGACCGGATCTCACTCGGGTGGAGGATGTGGCTGCAAGGCTGGGGATGAGATCTCTGTGAGTTGTGGCTCAGCTACTCGAGGGCTGGAGGACGGCCTTCTCTCCTGAGGAACGGGAGCAGCTGAGGGACTACAGCGCAGTGGTGGTCAGTCCCACGGAGCATGACCCATTCTCGGACATCGTTATCATGCCAGACTTACAGGACTGTGAAGGCCCCCTTCTGGAGTGTGAGGGAGAGTCTGGAATGAACTTGGGGACAGTGTCTGGTAAGCTGCTGTACAGAGCCTGTGTGAAGGTACTGAATAAGAAAAGACTGCACAGCAGAACCGACACACCATGGCGTGATGTTTTACCCGATTTTCTCCCCAATTTAGTCGTCTCCAATTCCACCCGCTAGTTAGGACTCCCCCAGTCACACGATGCCATCAACGCTAGGAGGGCGAGGCTAACACAGGCTTCCTCCGAGACCTGTGAAGCCAACCACCACTTCTTTTCGAACTGCCGCTCACGCAGTGTCATTGGACAGCTGAATGCGCTCGGAGGAAAGCGCCAACCGCCAGATCTGTTACGTCAGCTAACAGACGCCTGCGCTGACTAGCATTGTGCTGAGTGATGGGGGGAGAAGGAGGGGCCATCCTACCCACCCAGAGAGAGTGAGGCCAATTGTGCTCTCTCGGACTCCCGGCTATGGACGGCTGTAGCATCACCAGGGATCGAACTTGCGATCTCCTGATGATAGGGCCAACGCTTAGACGGTTGAGCCCCTAGCGTGATGTTTTTAATCTGAGTGATGATGTGAAACCAGAGTGGAGAGCACTGTATAAATCACCATTGAATAAAAAAGTAGCTGACCTGCAGTGGAGGATTTTACACGGTATTGTCTCAGTCAACGCTTTTATTTCTGTTTTAAATCCTGAGATTTTACCACAGTGTCCTTTTTGTCTTCAAAGAGAAACTGTTTTTCATGCTTTTATGCACTGTTTTAGGCTTTGCTCTTTATTTGAAGTTTTGAAGAATGTTTTTATGTCTCTTAATGTGACTTTTACACTCCAGACTTTTATCCTTGGTTTTAAGTACAGAAGAGAGAAGTCTAAGTGCCAACTGATCAAATTCATCCTTGGGCAGGCAAAAATGGCCATATATGTCAGTCCTAGTAACAAGGTGGCACATGGTACTGACTGTGATGCCCCAAGAACTCTCTCTAGACAGTCAGATCAAGGATTGTAATTGATTTCAGTTATCACATAAGCATGTGTGATGTGGAGGCTTTTGAAGCAGTGTGGTGCTGTGGTGAGTCTGTGTGCTCAGTGTGCAAAGGTGAGCTCTGATTCGCTCCTGAGTTCAGATTTGGAACAAATGGAAGAACAAAAAAGTTACTTTTGAAAGTTTGAGACAGAGTGTTTTGTCAACAGTACATGGTCAACTCAAGTACAAGAGCAAGACTGACTGTCCAGGCTCTTGAGAGGGAGATATGCTCTCTGGAGCCTGGACTGACTGCTACTCATGACCCCGTTATGTTGGGGAAGTTGCAGTAGAAGAGGAAGGAGCTCGGTGCCCACTTGAACTAGAGGGTGAAGGGGGCCTTGGTGAGATCCTGTTTTACTGTACTTGCAGACATGGATGCTCCGAGTGCCTTCTTCTTCAATTTGGAACGTTCAGTAGCACAACACAAGCAGATGGTCTGTCTTCGCCTTCCGGACGGATGAGTCTCTACTGATGTCACAGATATGTGTAAACATGCAGTGGATTTTTATTCTGCTCTTTGCACTGCAGAACTCTGTGATTCTGACTGTGCTGCACAGCTTCTTCAAGGACTCCCACAACTGGACTCTGAATCTAGAGCTGAGCTTGACTCTCACCTGACTCTGTAAGAACTCACTGCTGCAGTTGGACAGCTCAACACAAGACGGTCTCCGGGCATTGACAGCCTGCCCTCTGACTTCTATAAGCATTTCTGGGACTGTATTAGGGTGATTTTTATGAAGTGATCTGTGAATGTATTAGGGAAAGGAAACCTGGTTCATATCAGCATGCTGTCCTATCTTTATTGCCAAAAAGGGGACCTCTCTCTTTTAAAGAATTGGAGACCAGTTGCTCTTTTAACCACTGATTATAAAATTCTTTCTAAATGTTTTACCAATAGACTCAAGAATTACCTGTCCTTAATAGTGTACAGGGGGACCAGTCTTACTGCATTCCTGACAGATCAATATTGGAT